TTATTATTATTATTATTATTATTATTATTATTATTATTATTATTATTATTATTATTATTATTATTATTATTATTACTAATTATTATTAATTATTATTAAGTAATAAATAAAATTCGGTCCTGTGCTGTAGCTACCCATAACCCAATAACAACAACATTTTGTTCGGGTGCTCGACTGTTCTAACGTTGTGGTCCTGGCGTCGGACTCGTCGACCCTCAATCAACAACAACAAATATGTTTGGAGTCCGACACAGTGTTGCCAGATTGGGCTACAAATAGCGAATTGGGCTACTTTTGAGAGCCCCGCGCTCCCAAATTTTTAATTTCGCTACTTGCTACTTTTTAGGCTAATTTAATTAAAAGCAAGATGTGCTAATTTGGGCTATTAATGTTAAGAAACTCAATTATGATTATTTAGGATCAGATGCAACACAAACAAGTAACCCGCGTACATCCTTTCACGACCACAAAGATCACATTCACTCCAAAAAAAATCTTCCACTTACGGGCTATTCATGCCCATGCCACCTCTTGGGTGGCTTAATCTTCATCAATCACAAATAAGCAGTTACAGCCCCGCTCCTGTGCCAAGAACGCTTGAGGGCCACAGGGACCAGACATATGACAGTCTGCTCTCAGCAAAACTTTTAAATTACTGAACAATTTATTAAAAAACAAATTCAAATGTTTATTTAGGTAAAGTACATACATACAAGGGGTAATACAAATATTGATGAATTTATAAATAGAGCTAGTACATACAATGCCTAAAGACACTATTACGCAAAGCGTTTCGGGCAAGAAAAACACTAAAGACTAAAACTTAATACTAATTGAGATTAAAGTATAAAATGTGTTGAGAAAATATATAAATAAAAAAAGTGGGAACATGGCAGAAAAACAGCAAAAATACAATTTGGTCGACAAACAGCATTGTTTAAAAAAATAACAGACATGGGTTGACATAAAGGTAGCTTACAGGGAGTTAATTAGGTAGTGCTTAGTTTTTATCTTAAACTGGTTGAGAGAGGTACAGTCTTTAACATGATTGGGAAGGTCATTCCTCATTCTGGGTCCCTTGATTTGTAGAGCATTTCTAGTTTGATTAAGTCGTACTCTTGGAATACTTGGAATACCAAAAAGTATTTTTTCTGACCAGGGGGAGAAAGATACTGGCAGTATGGGGCGTTAAAGTTTATTGAAGATTAAATTCTGCAGAACATGTAAATATATAAAGTTCAAATATAAAGTAAGTAATTATATAAAGTTTATATTAAACACGGTTTATATTATAGACTTATAACAAAGTTGATATTATTAAACTTAATATTGAACATGTAAATATATAAAGTTTCAAAATATATAATTTAAGGACTATATAACGTTTATATTAAAATATATAAAGTAAATATATAAAGTAAGAATTAACAGTAACAATTCCAAGTCCGAGGACTAGATTTAACTTAAAAGGTACACCCGTAGTAAGTATGAGACCTTAGCCTATAGTGACATGGAAACTAATTCTGCAGAAACCTAAAGGTTAACTGGTACTAGAATTAAGGCCGAGTGCAAATGTGTAGTAATTATATAACACTAGGATATAACAGGCAGGACACAAAGAATAACTAATAAGTGAGAGACCACATAACACGTAATGTACCCGGCCAAGAGGCCGTAAAAGACCTAATGGATAAGGAGAAGGGGGTGTGACTACAAGTAGGGCTTACTAGCACCTAGACTGGGCAAAGTATTAGCTGCGGACAGCGGGACACTTGGGGACCGGCGCTGCACCCCCCTTCCCACATGCAGTGGGGAGACAAACGGGACAACTGTGCAAAGCATGACGGGGTTACAAAAGCAGCCGCTTGCAAAGGGGGGGAGGGTGGGGATTTGCGAGGGCAGCGGCGAGGGCAGGCGGAGTGAGGCAGAGCCCCAGTGTGCGCCCGTATTTATACGGCCCCAAACTGCCCGCGCAATGCCGCGGGACGCGCTGCGCAATTGTTTCTTTCTCCCCCGCCAGAAAAATCCCCGCTTGCGATCAAGCAGTGACCATGTTTCTGGTGTGGTGCTCATGGGTTCTGTTACAACCTTCAATGAAGCTTTTAAGGTCAGAATTGGCATTACAGTTCAGCGTAATGCCAATTACGCTGAACATATATATATATATATATATATATATATATATATATATATATATATATATATATATATATATATATATATATATATATATATATATATATATATATATATATATAATACACATGAGAGGATGTGCAGTGACTAATATTTAACATATTCAGAGATTTGAGTAGGGGTACCGAGTGATGTCTGGGGCCAGAGTTGGATATTGTCCTAATAGCAGCTTTGTGTTGAGTAATTAGAGGACGTAAATGATTTTGGGTAGTGGAACCCCAAGCACAAATACCATAGTTGAGATAAGGATAGATGAGGGAATAATAGAGCGTCACCAGGGCAGGGCGAAGTACATAATATCTGATGTTAGAAAGAATGCCAACAGTTTTTGAAGCTTTTTTTGATATATTTAGAATGCATCCCTGGAAATTCAGTTTGTGGTCAATGAGAACGCCAAGGAATTTGCCATCTATTTTGTTATAAATTTGGGTATTACCAAACAAAATATAGAAAGTTTTGTCAATGTTGAGGGTGAGTTTGTTGGCAGTTAGCCAAAGATGGACTTTATTTAGCTCAGTATTCACTGTGACATTAAAAGCAAAGGGGTCAGGACTGGAATAAATGAAGGTTGTGTCGTCAGCAAATAGAATTGGTTTGAGGTGTCGGGAGGCATTTGGAAGGTCATTAATGTAGATGAGAAAGAGGAGAGGGCCAAGTATGCTGCCCTCAGGAACACCAATGTTGATGGGTAGGGTGGAAGAAATTGAATTATTCACAGAAACATACTGGAGCCTGTCAGTAAGGTAAGATTTGAGGTATATTGCAGGGAGTGTCCTCTGACACCATAATGATGTAATTTAAGAAGAAGGTTTTGGTGGTTGACAGTGTCAAAAGCCATACGCAGGTCCACAAATAACCGAACAGGAACTCATTTTTATCAAGAGCTGCATGTATCAAGTCAATCATACTAATGCAACCCATTCTCCGAATTGACAGTACGATTTAATACTAAGTGTAATAAGTACAAATCTCACTGTCATAAACAGTGCATAATTACACTTGTGCGGCTGTTACATTTACCCAACTCCCTTCTTGAGGTTATCTTGAGATGATTTCGGGGCTTTAGTGTCCCCGCGGCCCGATCCTCGACCAGGCCTCCACCCCTAGGAACCTATTTTACTGCTAGGTAACATGGGCATAGGGTGAAAGAGTTCTGCCCATTGTTATTCGCCGGCACCTGGGATCGAACCCAAGACCTCAGGATCAAAAGTCCAGCGTGCTGTCAGCTCGGCCGACCGGCTCCCTCACCTAACTTAATTCTCTGTTTTCTGTAAAGACACTCAGAATTTTAGGACAAAGATTTTAGCATTAATGTGCTATATACTGTACTAGTTTTAAATATCAGGAATTTCTTTTTCAGGTTTATTAAACAATATAGATTTTATACAAAATTTTAAAATATCCTGAGTTCCTTTACAATTTATTGAAATATTTTAGTTTTGTTTTATTAGTTTTATAAAACTGTAATATCAATATAGCTATAGGTTAAGTACTAATTGTAATTAAGAAGCAATAAAATTATTATCTTCAAAAACTAAGACGGTTAGGTGAGATTGTGGTTTTCTATTCAGTTTTTCAGGTAAACTCAAATATTCACAATATATTTGACTACGCAAATATGGGGTTGGGTGCATTTGGGTCGGGTTCCAGTTACACAACTGGTTGAGTTCCAGTTACACAACTGGTTGGGCTCTGGTTACACATCTGGTTGGGGTCCAGTTACACAACTGGTCGGGCTCCGGTTACATAAATGGTCGGGCTATGGGGGTGTCACTTGGGCTTCGGGTTGTGCATAGTCAGGCTTCGGTTCGTGCATGGTTGTGTTTCAGATGTTGTTTGTACGGTTCGTTCATGCTAGGCTTGTGGTTACACAACTGGTCGGGGGTCCGGTTACACAACTGGTCGGGCTCTGGTTAAATAACTTGTTGGGCTCCGGTTAAATAACTGGTCGGGCTCCGGTTACATAACTGGTCGGGCTCCAGGGGTGTTACTTGGGCTTTGGGTTGTGCATAGTCGGGCTTCGGTACGTGCATGGTTGTGCTTCAGATGTTGCTTGTTCGGTTCGTTCATGCTAGGCTTGTGGTTACACAACTGGTCGGGGTATGGTTACACAACTGGTCGGGCTTCGGTTACACAACTGGTCGGGCTCCGGTTACATAACTGGTCGGGCTCCGGTGACACAACTGGTCGGGCTCCGGATACGTAAGTGGTCGGGCTCCGGGGGTGTCATTTGGGCTTTGGGTTGTGCATGGTCGGGCTTCGGTTCGTGCGTGGTTGTGCTTCAGAAGTTTTGTTCGGTTCGTTCATTCTAGGCTTGCAGTTACACAACTGGTCGGGTTCCGTTTACACAACTTGTTGGGCTTCGGGGTGCACAATAAACCACCACTCACTGGTTGAATAGGGGATGCTTAATGAACTATCCACCTCTCGCGACAAAAAATCAATATATATATATATATATATATATATATATATATATATATATATATATATATATATATATATATATATATATATATATATATATATATATATATGATATGTGTGTGTGTATGTACAGAAATAATATTAATAAAACAATTAACATCGTGTAGTATACTCTATATATCAAAATATATTACTTTGAAACCCGTATCATTCACTCAAAAAATATTGGGCTACTTTTATTACAAATTCGCTACTTTTAGACCGTCAGCTCGCTACTTTCCGCAATTTGAATCTGGCAACCCTGGTCCGACACATGGGTTGGCATTTGCGTCAAATTCCAGGATGTGTGGAACAAGTGTTCTAGATCGTGTGTGTTTTAGACGCAAAGATTTTTCATGATACTAACCTTTTTATTTACATATACAAGAGTTCTTACATTCTTGTAAAGCCACTATAATACATAGAGTTTCGGGCTGGTCCTTAATTAATCCTAATTTCCCCTGGAATACAACCTACCAAGTCGTTTAACAACCAGGTACCCATTCACTGCTGGGTGAACAAGTTAGGGATTGGGGCCCAGTCAATCCTTCCTGGCCTGGATATGAGCCCAGGCCAAAGTGCACGCGAAGTGTTGGGCGAGTGTTTTACCACTGCACCACAGGGACTGCTGCACTATGGGATACACACGGCCTTGTGTTGTCGCTGCCCCAAATCCAATAACATCTTTTAACAAACTAAGTTACAGTAGCTGACTAGCAGCTTACCTCATACTAGATATTTAGATAGCATTTTACAATATGTCACTGTTCCTTACAATTTTGTAATGCAAAGCACAGTAGATGATGTGTATCACTTGATCAAGAAAAACTGACAAATGTCTAATTAACATCATATGTAACAAATTTCATTTGCATTTCCTCATCCAAAATATGACATTTTTGTGGTTTGCTGTTATTGTACGTTTTAAATATATACCTGTACTAAAAAGTCTTATGCCATTCGTCATTAAGTATCACCTAAATATTGTATTTCACTTGCTAAATTTCTTTAAGAACTCAGGTTTAGCATTAAATATTTACCCCATTTACCTGAATTTACCTGAGAGCTACTAACACTAGTGGCCTCGATGAGGACAGGAAGCCGGTGGCTTGTCGAAGGTCCCCCTAATTTGCCTTGATGATCTTTTCCAGTTGTACTTTAAAAGTTAACAGAGTTTTGGCATTTATGGCTTCAGCAGGTAGGCTGTTCCATGGGTTTATAACCCTGTGGGTGAAAAAGCATCTGTTCTCAGTCCTTTATCATGCTTGTTGAGTTTGAAATTAACCCATCAATAATTTAGCTGAATTATTTTAAGTTATGCCCAAACTACTAGTGGCTTTATTAAATATGCTTTTTGTGTATCAACTAGTCAACCACTGTATCATGTTCATCTGTATATTTTTAAATAAGTTGTATTATCATCATTGGCATTTAAACACAGCTAGGCCTGACAAGTATCTGGTTAGGTGGTGTTACAGACATCCTTGCTGTTGGCTAGTGGGACCTTGATATGCCTTTGTGCTTCCTGCCACTGATCTCTGGACACTCAACGTTATTGTTATTCTTAAGAAATAATTATACTGTATTGGATTTATTGCAAAACTTTTTGTATGAATCAGAAGAGATTGTTTTATTTCATGACTTGGAATAGCCACATATGTCTTCTTGGCTTTATGCATTCTTTTGATATTCTGTAATTACTTTTCCATGATGTAATGAATTAGCTTAAAAAGTCTTATATGTACATTATATTTCAGACTAATGAGCCCTAATACATGGCAGCTGATATTTTTATAAATATTCTGCAATGAGCTTGGCATGGATCAGGAGTCAACAGAGTTTCCTCTCTCCAGAGGTAAAAACCCTGCTCCAGAAGGCAATTCTTGTTAGCAATGATCAAGTGGATTCTTCTGATACTCAATCATGGCTCAACGAGGACTGTACAATTGCTTTTGGGAAACTAGAAGAAGTTTTGTCAGGTACACTAATTCTTAAATACTGTATTTGTATACCATAGGCTATACATCTGATGAATCATATAGATATTATGCTTGTCTTTGCAAAACTGTAGCTGATACTTAAAGAATACATATGTATACTGTATATCACTTGTTGAAAATGTTCCACTGATCCCTATTACACTTACGTGAAGATTTTCTACTTTCTATTGTATTTTCATATGCCTGTGATATACAAATCTGTTGTACTAATATAGAGAATTTTTACTTAATGTTATTATCAGATAAGATGCTATACTTTTTAAAACCAAGGGATTACTTCCAGAGTGAATTCCTTGGTTGATGTGACAGGCAAAGAGAAGTTTATGTGGATGAGGTGATTATGTGCTACTGACAGGCAACTAATTTCATTCACCAACAAGTTGGCCTTCCATCATTCAGTTATCTTCATATACAAGGATGTATAGGGTTTTGTACAAATTCTGATTTTTGCCCAGTACATTCATATTAGCACAGTGTAAAGTCTGGCTTTACATACCTTATTGATAAAGTATTATCAATATTTAATCAATATTGGTAAAGGAATGAGTAGGAACATTCCCACAAGTCCATAAAGAATATCTAGATCTTTTTACTACTTAGTTTATAATAGGTGTTTTCTGTTAGTTCATTATTGCCAATAATGGTAATTATGAGCTGAACTACAGTATACTAATCCTGGCCTCAAATGTTTTCCAGAGAGCTGTAACAGGCACCACACGATATATTAATATGTTTGTCATTCCTAGAGACTCAACCAAAGGAAAAATGATATGCAAATCAAGGGTCCCCAATTGTGGAATGAACTCCCTAAATAAGATTGAAGCTGTACTTCTCTCACCCAGTTTAAAAGAGAAACTAAGAGATACTGTATCTTGTTAGCATTAAGTAACAAATTTCTCTTGCAATTCTTCATCCAAAATTTTTAATTTTAGTGTTTTGCTGGTATTGTAAATTTTAAATACTATGTCCGGCACTAACATAGTGCCGGACATAGTATCTAGACATAATGGTGCATAATTCTCTATAGGATGTTATAGAGTATGAGTTGTTTTGTCTATACCTTTTATTATTATCACCTAAATATTTTATATCATTTGCTAAATATCTTGAACAATTTATATGTTAGGTTACTTCTTGTTTAGTATTAAGTGTTTACCCCATTGACCTATGAATCATTTAACTGAATTATTTTAAGTTACGACTGAAACACTTTGCATACTAGAGGCTTTATTAACACTTTAGCTGCACCTATCAACCAGCGTTAAGTTTAGGTCTAGCGTCATATCTAAAACCACTGCAGATACATGGGGGCTCGCATCTGCTTCTTCAGGCCTCTAGTAAATAGATGCCAGCTTATCATACTCATGAGAATTGCTTTGTGGTTCCATAATGGTGCATAAACATGTAGATAATTATATATAATGTGCAAATCCTGTGTGATAACAGCTAAAAAGAGTATGTTTTATTGTTTTAAGAATACTGTATAATGTACCACACATATTAGTTACAGAATTATATTTGTGCATATCAATGTTTCAACCTCTTTTGATATGTGTTTGTGATATAAATTCTGCTATAGACAGCACAATATATAGTTTCACTTGAAAATTTTCAAACATTTAAAACATGATAAAGAAACCCATATGTTAAATGCTCACAATTCCACCCCTTCCACTCTGGAGGCAACCTAGCCCAGCATTTGCTGTGTGAGCGATCAAGATTTGATGTTGCCATTTGAAATTTAGCGCTCACTACAGACAAAGTAAGTGACTTTGGGATTTATTTAAATTTTTCCATGATGAAAGGATGCATTTTAACAATATTAGAAGAAAATTTTATTTTAATTTGTTTCGTGCACACCTGGGTGGTTCTCATATAAATTGAGAGCTCATTCCAGGGTCTAAATATGCATTTTATGTAACAACTAATCAACCACTGTGTCATGTTCTGTACAGTATATTTGATAAATAAAAATTACTGTATTATTATTATTATTATTATTATTATTATTATTATTATTATTATTACTGTATTATTATTATTACTACTACTACTACTGTATTATTACACAGTAATCACACTACAGGTATCGTGATTCATCAATGAGAGAATCCGTAGGAGCCGTTATGAGTGTTCAAACTTATGCAGTGGGTGTTCCCAGGCACACGCTCTAGACAACTAGGCCATCAAACCATACAGATCATGTTGTGGCCTAATTGTCTAGAGCTAGTGTTTGGGAGCACTCACCGCATAGGTTCGAAATCTCATCATAGCTCCTATGGATTTTCTCACCATTATTATTATTACAGTACAGTATTATTGTTATTATTATTATTATAATCTTTGGCCTAGATATTTTACCGGAGGCAAAATTAATAAGAGTACAGTACAGTACAGTACTGTACAAAAGAACAACATTTTGGAATAGATATGAAAGAAAAGGTGATGGACAAACTTGAGGTTATTAAGAGTAAGGAGTGAGGAGATGTAAACAGTGAAGGAGTTGCAATTAATTCTCAAGAAAAGCAATGATCAAAAGATGTAAATTCTTAGTGACTGTCATATTTGTGTAAGCTAACATAAATTAATTATCCTCTTATAGACATTCATTTTCAAAATTAATAAAATATCTTACAAGGTACAGTACTGGGTAACATTGGATGTGTTGTTCAAGTAGTGTAGTTGACAAAATATTTTTAGCATTATTATTTATACTGTATTTATTTTCAGATATAGTGGAGGAATATGAGAGTAAAGAATGGTTTTCTGAAGCTGTTGTGAAGTTAGCTCCACTCTTCAGTCACTGCCATAATGTAATAAGAAAGTTGACACTGGATGATTATAGTACCATCTTGCATCCATATCTGCAATGGACTCATAAGGTACTATGTTTACAAATATTTCTTTGAAAATTCTATCTAAAGTAGAACATGTATTGTAATCAAACTTAAAAAAATGAGACGCTTATAAATATAAAACCACAATAAAATAGCACAATATACATAACAGTTTTCCGAGAATGGTTTCTCGGTCATTAGTTAGTCTTTTTCATTATTATATTTCTCTAGGGTGCTGAAATTTGTACTTGCCTGGAGGAGATATCCGAGGGAAGCTGCAGCAGCGATCATCTTGTTGGCCTCCTCACCATCACCGCCATTACTGAGAGAGCTTTAGGAAATGTAAATATTGGTTGTTTCCTAACATTACATTTATACAGTACTGTACTGTACTGTAGTCCCCTCACTCAGTGTGAGGGATGCTTTCCTGCAGAACCTCTTGTTGCACAAAATTGGGCTGTTTAAATTCAGTGTTACAGAGTATGATCTCAAATTTAACAACATACAATTTAGTGAATTACTGGAAATACTTTATTTGTTGTTTTGACATAGGTATATGCTCCTGACACACATCATATATACAATATGAAGGGAATCCAGTCAGTAGATTGACATGGAGTTTGTTACAGCACTGCACCTATGGCTGCTTGGCTACAGTTGAGCCTATGTTTTGTTATGAAGTGCATCATTAAGTCATAAATGTTGTACTTTTAAAAAATTACAATATACTAGTACATAACTGAGCACATTGCCTATTCATTTTTACAGTACGGAACTGAATTAGAAAACAATTACTGTATTTTTTTTTTATTTATTATTGGTTCATGTACAGTATTACTAACTATTTTACTTTAATAGTAGAATTTCAAATTTCAAATTTCAATTTCAATTTTTTTGTATTCAGGTAAAAGTACATACATCGAAGATGAGTTACAAACATAATGTTAGATTTATAGATAGAGCTAGTATATACAATACCTAAAGCCACTAATACGCATAGCATTTCGGCAAATTCAATTGAATGTCATTCAAAATAGAATGGCATTACAAAAGGTGAAGGAATCCTTACTCAAATCCATCTTCTTGAGGTTATCATGAGATGATTTCGGGGCTCAGCGTCCCTGCAGCACAGTCCTCGACCAGGCCTACTTTTTATTACAAATTCCCAGGAAGCAGCCCATACCAGCTGTCTAACTCCCAGGTACCTATTTACTGCTAGGTGAACAGCTATATCCATAGCTATAGATACAAAAGAAAACAAGACTGTTTCTACCAATCTATCCAAACCAGAAATAATATATGATAAAGCTGCCAAATAAAGCAAAACAAATGTTTTCAGTACTAAACCAAAACAAATGAAATACAAATAGAAGGGAGTTGGGTTTATTCAGAAGTAATAATTCTTATAGATGAAATAGCAGTAACACACACCTTATGAAAAATCATAAGTGGCTTTGAAGTTAAACTATAGTAGTGATCCAGCTGAGTAGAAGATCACTGCGGATCTCATAAATTATTGTGCAGAAAATATATCGCCACAGAATATGGAATCCAGTTTTCTTTTTCAAGAGTCAACAATTTGGTGAAAAGATAAGATACACACACAAAATATTTTATCAGGCGATTGACAATGGTTGCACTGTCCAAAGAGACTGTCAGATGAAGCAGAATGAATAAGCTGAAGATTATTGTTATGTTGCAACCTGTTCAATGAAAGTGCGAGTTTAATTTTTAATCAGTTTAAAACTTGTTTTCATGATGGAAAATGCAATTGCAAGGATTACCTCACAAAAAAAAGTACTGTACCTGTACTGTATTGAAAAATTAAAAAGTCTACAAATGCCATATTAACACTTTCGCGCTCTCCGCAAAGGTCACTCAGCCAACTGAATGTGCGCGCTGCGTTTTTATCGCTTAAGCGTAAAAACAAAAATGTGTATACTCTTTTTACTCTTCTGACCTTAGTTCTCATGCTACGTATTTCATTTTGGTACCAACGTGTTCGCAATAAAATTCTCTATAAGAACATCAGTAAAAAAGTCACGAAACGTATAGGGATACCAGCACCAAATAAATAACTACGAAGATGACTCGCCGTGAGCGCCCATCAGCAACAAAATGTTTTTACTCTTGGGATTGTAATCACCTCCACACTTGTTCTACAGCGTTAATTTTGGTATCAATGGACTCGCAATGAAATTCCCAACACGGTGATATGAATATAAGCGTAGAATAATGATTGCGGCCCGCCCGCAAGAGTGTGGGAAGTGGTGAAATTGTTACCCGGTATCGGTGACGGGACGACGCACGGCGCTTTGAAAGTTAATACTTATTTCACTCTCATGACATTAATTTTCTATGTACGTCATTCATTTTTGTGTCAATGTGTTCGCAATAGAATGTTCTATGTGCCCATAGGTAAAAAATATCAACAAAGCGTAAGTTAGAATAGCGCCAAATATAAAACAACGCTGGAACATATCAGTGAGCGTCAAACACACACGAAATGTTTTTACTTTTGTTATGTTTGTCAAGTTTATACTTGTTGCACACAGTTATTTTTGGTTGTATATTGATCGGAATAAAATTCCCTAAACAGACATATGCATATAATACATGATATGGGGGAAGCATTACCAGTATAAACGGCTAAAGTCACCCACCTGCAACCCGTTTGGGACAAAATACCATTTGATCGAAGTTATCCACACCTTTCATGAACTTATTGTACCATGCAGCCTAGTGGTGAGAAAGAGAGCCTCATAGCGCGCAGTTTAAAACAAACCCAAAGTAAATCGGATAAAAATTGAATTTTATACAAATATTTTAAAAGTTGACATAACTTTATGTCCACTATGCGTTTACGTTAGACGAAACCGGACGCGCCGGCGCGTTCAGATAGCGCGAAAGTGTTAAAGTACAACGATGTAATTTCATGCTGAATGGGGATTAGCTTTCCGAGGAACATTACATAAATTTTCTTGTATGAAAATTATCTTGATTACATTGGCCTAGTTTCTTATGAGGAACATTAGAAGGCATGAAATTCTATGAAAGTGGAATGTTTTTCTTTCTGTAAATTTATGGAGTTCAGTGGTTGTGGGTGTACCAAAACAGTGAAGGCAAGAGCAAAATATTTGATGTAATGCACAGAGTATAGTTGTAAATTTGCCTGAAAGTGTATTATGATAATTGCTATACTGTACATGTAAATTCTTAGCCATTGTATACATTTTCTAGGAAACAAACTTGTATTTATATTCAGTATATTGTATTTTGTGAGATATTGATTGTTTAGTTGATAAGCTGTGAAACATTTATATTGAGTGAAGAAAACAGCATTCTGCTGACCACAATACAGAAGAATTCATTATTGTTAATACAGTACTGTACAGTATATCATTACATTCTTTAATCAATAGAATATTACATGTGTGTGTGTACAGTATTTGTGCTCTCCTGATGATATAAATGTTAGATATAACTTAGGTAATGAAACGTTTACTTTCAGCTAGTTCTCATGAAACGCGAACAAGTGCCATTTTTACTCCGAGACCTTCTTGCTACACCAGAATTGCTGACATTATTAGGAAACACAAGGGTAAGTAGTAAGATACAGTGTTAATTCATTTTATATTAGTAATTTATTGCAGAATGGATGGCTAATTATTATAAGTAAATTTAAGATTTTATTTTGTTATACTGTAGCCAGCCTTTGCCAATTTCTCATCCAACACTGCCCAGATCTATTGACATTTATTTATTTATGCTTTCCCAAACTAATCCGATTCATATTTCTCTCTCATTGTCTTGGCAACTCAGAATGTTTATGTTAACCATGTGAATAGTCTTTCTTTCAAGACTTTCTGAGCAAGACCCCTCAGTTCTAGGTGTAGAAAGTAAATGCCAATCTTTTCCCTTTCCTTAGTCTCCATCACTTGATATGGCATAGGAAACTATCTGAGTATATGAACCTTGGAATTAACAAGACTACATACACAAATGTATTATCATTACCACATTTTCTATCTTCATGGGTAAACATCAACCCATGGTAAAAAAAAAGTAAATATTGTAATACAGTATAATGATTCTGCTTCAAACTATTAAGGAAAAATGAAGGTGATGCAGAGTGGTGAAGGCATGACAGATAACAAAAAGCAAATGGTTACTTGTGATAATGAATTAAAAGGGTTAAGAATTAAAGAAATAAAATGAATACAGCAACACAGAATCCTGCAATAAATATTATGCTGCCAAATTTGTATGTAAATACTGTATATTGTTTGAGCAAGTGATAAAGTTTAAAAGTGCTAATGTTATAGCTTTATTTATAGATGTTCATTGATTTCTTATATGCTGTACATTAAAAGAATAATTCTCTTCTATAGCAAATGTCATCTCATCACTGAGATTTGTAAAGTTATAAAACAAGAAGTAAATATAAATGCAAAGATAGTCTGAATCATCTTATTTTGTAAGTACAGTATAAATAAATCAAACTTGTTTTTTCCAAGATCACTCTGTTGAAGATTCTGCTTGGTTCTGTACTGGGCATAAATCTTCGCAACATTGCATGGCATGGGTTCCTTAGCCCTTGTGAGGCAAATCCAGCATTTGTTGCTTCCATCATTATTATTCTGGCAGACTGTGGAAGATTCCTCAAAGACTGCAAGATTACAAATGTTCCTTGTAGGCCATTTGTATCATTCAAAGAGGTAAGATCATACTTGATCATACTGTCACAATAATTCCAGATTTATGAAAAAATTAGCACTTACAAAATCAAACATTTTGTTTGTTATCTGGAACATGCCTGAAGGAGACTAATATCTTTTCAGGCATGTTGTCTTAGCAGTATATTTGAAAATGTTTCCTTCCCACCAAGAATAATAATGGAAGAGTTGATAATCAAGTCACCGCTTGTACCAGCTATTATGATTCCAGCATGGATGAAAGCTCTTGATCTATTGACTGCTAAAAGGTAAGATAGCATACATTAGGGGCCTGACAGCTGAGTGGACAGCCCGTCGGATTCGTGGTCTTGAGGTTCCAGGTTCAATCCCCGATGGAGGCAGAAACAAATGGGAAGTTTCTTTCACCCTGATGCTCCTGTTTGCCTAGCAGTAAATAGGTACCTGGGAAATAGATAGCTGCTACGGGCTGCGAAACAAAAAGGAGGCCTGGTCGAGGACCGGGCTGCGGGGACACTAAGCCCTGAAATCATCTCAAGATAACCTCAAGACATAGAAATTTTATACCAGTTTCAATTTATTATGTAGAAGCAATAGGAATAATACCAGAGCCTCATTGAAACAACATGCAATTGTCACATATATCTGTTTCAGTAAGAAAGTTATCAATATTTTACATTTATTTATTTATTTATATATATACAAGAAGGTACATTGGGTTTATGAGAGTACATATAGGATTGATGTTTTTACATTCTTGCAAAGCCACTAACATGCATGATAATAATGATACAGAACAAGATAATAATTTGAAATAGTCATACGTTTTACAATACAGCCACCAGTACTCTTTATACAGTACAGTACTATTAACTATTTATGATACCAGAACATTCTCAATAATTTGTTTTATTATACTGAAAATATCTCTATTGTTTTTATAATGTTTAAAAAATATTGAATTTTGAAATAGCACCTGCTGTATATGCCTAAGATGTAACTGAAACAGCCTTCCCCCAATATGCTTGCAATAAGGAAAGATATATTTCCTATTTGTAAAGTTTAAGAAGCTTCAGTAAGTTGACTAATAAATAGTGCTACAGAATGAGCACCACTAGCGGGGAAACTCTCATTTGCTTGACCTATAGTTATGCTTCCAGGGGCAACTGAAACCAGCTGATTTACTACTATATGCTGAATTTATATTATACTAAAAATAAAGTTGAGTTTATGTTCAATAATATCAGATTCAAGAATACAAGCGTGTTCAAAACCTTTGCATTTAAAAGTTAATGAATGAACAATATATGTTTATATAACTTATTGTATCCCAAAAGGTAAATGTTTATAATCGTTGATATATTTTTTTCCAGGTGGGGCTCGACTTTAACAGTGCTTCTGCCAATCATGGAGTGCTCTTTGCGTTGTCTCTTTGCATATGCTAATGAAATGCCGAAAAGAGTTTTAACGGCTGAAAATTCTACATTATATATAACTTTGAATGAGATTCTCGATCCTTGTATCTGTGAATCAAATTATGATTTTGTAGAATATGGAAAACTTAATCAGAGTACAAAGAAATCTTATGCCAGTATCAATTTATTATGTAGAATCAATGAGAATAACACCAGTGCTCCCTTTAAACATGGAACTGTGTCACATATATCTGCTTCAGCAAGAAAGTTATCAAATACTAATCATACTTTGCTCATTATTGGCAAAAAGCTCAATGAAGCACTTCAGGATCTTCTGAATTTTGTGCAAGGTCCTCGTGTACGAGATCGAATAAGCCATGGTGAGGTTCAACTAGAAGAGTTACCACAAAATATAGCTCAGAGTACTATGTACCTCTGTCTGCTTGTATTGAGCCTTGGTAGCTGGAGGTCTAAAATGCAAAGAACAAGTACTTGCAGTCAAATGAAATGTAGCCATTACAATATTGACTGTGTTAATTTGGTAGATCCTGTAACTGATGATTTGTACTGTTATCTAAAAGATATGTACATCAAAAGGGATACAGATGATAATGAAATTAAGAAATGCACTAATAGTATGTTGGAATCTCTTTCTGTAATTGAAGCATCAGAAAACTTAATTGTTTTATTAACAAAGCTAAGTGGATGCATTGAGAAGTATAAAAGCATTTATCACCCAAGTGCCATACTTCAAGATCAACTTGTCTCCTCAGTGTCTCAGCTAAAGAACTGGTTAACATGGGAAAGAGTGGACTTTGAAGAGCTGGGTTATGATGACTGGAAAAATAAAAACAGTTCAGAGTTACCAGAGATGGTATCTATACCTTCTGTTGACAGTAAGCATGAAGTCAAAAGCCTTGATCAAATTAAAGATTTTCTTTCTCATATTTGCAATGTCAGTTATGAAGTCCTCTACAGACCAAAGCCAGAGCTTGAGGTAGTATCTGTCCTTCAGAGAGTTGCTTCAAGTGTCCAGTCAGCTCTTGCCAATATTTGTAAAAGTCTTTCTATCAGATATGTGCAATATATAAACAAAAAACTACGATCAAGACAGAGAGAGACATACCGCAGACAGTTAAATGCAATTCCAGCAATAGTACTCAACATTTATCTCGCCTTGCAAATTATTTATGTGGTATTCTTTTCTATAAATAGAGTTTCTTATCTTAGCAAGCCATGCTTTACTAATCTACTCAGTGTGTTGAAATCAATGCTGAAATTTCAGGAAAATATAGCATCGCAAACCAACCTCAATACTAACCGTTGGGATGAAGCTTTATCACTCTCTCTCAAAAGCATTACAACAATCAAAAAATATTTTTCAGGTTAGAAATGACTTGCACAATTGTATTGAATTTTTATTTTTAATATGGGTCATGTGGATATACTGTTAGGAACGGACCATTTTAATTAATAGTGCTCGAGACTAATACCCATTCCTTTTTATTACTAAAAGGAATGGGTAATAATTCTAAAAGCACCCTCAAGTAAGAGTGTTACACTCTTACTAGAGTATTACAAATGTGTGTTAAGAGGTGGTAGCTCCTCTGTTCCTGTGGGGAGGAATACTTGCCTGGTTTGAGGATGAAGGAATTTGATGTGGATCATTTATAGTGGTAGACTGTTTGCATGATAAAATTTGTTTCATTTCACACAAAATTTAGGAGATTAGTTTATTTAAATTTGATTTCATTTGAATTTAGGTTATCCAGCTAATTGTTGAATGTTTAGGTTTAGATTTAATTTGACTATTCTTTCAATTCAAGTGACCTGCCACTTGGCTGCTCATGCACCCTGCATGAACATATATGGCACACCAGACAAACATAAAAGAATCTACGATCTTTAAGTTGCTCTTCAATCACTTTACGTGTACTGAAAGTAGGAATTTATAAAATTACAGTACTCCCCTACTTGAACCAATATTGAAGGAAACCCATGTGTGTACCATTATATCTGTATATACTGTCTGCTTTTGGTATCTAATCAAGGGTTTCTTAAAACCTAGGGACAAGTAATGTAGATTGATGATTGAAGCATCTTTCCTAATGACACTACGGTATATATTTACTGTCTAGCATCCTTAGTATTCATGATGCTCCTCTCCTGGTAGTCTTTTTTAAGCCAAGAAATTTATATTTAACTTCTACCCACTATATTCTACCCACTTCAAGACTCCGCACCAATATAGAAGCATCAAGAAATATGGGCTAATAGGCCCTTTGCAGTTACTTCCATTCTTCCCTTTAATTTACCCTATTTATACCCATTGTTTCGTGTTCTGTCTTGTGTTGAAAGTTTTGTTCACCTCATCCAAAACTGTTGTAACATATCACCTCACCCAAATGCGGGTATATAAGATGAAAGCTGTTTAAATTATAGCATAGTAGAACTCTGTTTAGTGTTTGCAGGTTATAGTTGTGTGTGTGTAAACTAAAGTCTTTGAAAATATACGAAAGTACTTAAGGAAATTCCTGTTTCATTTTTCCTCCGTGGTTTGACATTGTCATATATATATATATATATATATATATATATATATATATATATATATATATATATATATATATATATATATATATATATATATATATATATATATATATATATATATATATATATATATATATATATATATATATATATATATATATATATATATATATATATATATATATATATATATATATATATATACATATATATATATATATATATATATATATATATATATATATATATACATACATATACATATATATACATACATATACATATATATATATATATATATATATATATATATATACATATACATATATATATATATATATATATATATATATATATATATATATATATATATATATATATATATATATATATATATATATATATATATATATATATATATATATATATAAAATTTATTTATAATTCTCGAACCTATGCTGTTTTATATTTTTATATTTTAGCGAGCTAATTTTACTTGAATGCGCTGCTGTACAAAGTAACATAGTTCCTTGATGGAAGAAATATGGAATATAAGTGAGCTAAATTAACTTCCAACAAAAACTTAAAATTTAACATTAATTTTTTTATATTTCAAAATTAGTTTGTTTCACTATAAAATTGTCAGAGAAAGCATGAATTAAGTTGTGTAGACTACTTTGTCCTATGAGATTTATTTTGCATAACATAGTTAGAATTACCTATAGTACAATGTTATAAAAAAAACAATTTTAGAACACATTTCACATAGATTAGGCTACTCATCCTGTGATCCATAGTATCTACTGCTGGTGCCAAGGGGTAGAAATAACCTAAGCTACTTTATCTCTATGAGATATATTTTTTTTCTTGTCTCAATAAACATATTTGAACTTGCTGGTACCAAATTCTCATCCTGTAAAGTGTAGTTTATTGCACAAAACCATGCTCTTTGTATGAGCTGTGGTTTAATATGCATCCGGTACTGATTCCGTGATTTGTAGTTTATTGTGCAAATCATATTCATCTTGTTAGCCGTCGTTTATTGTACAACCCATACTCATCCTGTGACTCCATCAGGGCATTTTGTAACTTTATGTATAAAGGACGAAAATAAGTTGGTTTTCTTTACACATTTGTCCTAAATCACATTTCTTATAATACTGGACAAAGTTTGTTACTTTTTACATTGTTCAAAACTTTTAAAATACTGAACAATTTGCAGGATGTTGATCCAGACAACTTCAAAAGGTCAGATACAACACAAACAAGGAGCAATGGCTTCAAATCTCAACAAGCCACAATGTATTAGACTGGAAATAGAAGATGCTTTTTCACCCACAGGATTGGGTGAAAAGGTTTCAGGCCTGTGGAACCGCCTACCAGCCGAAGCCATAAATGCCAAAAAACTGTTAAAACTTTAAGCTCCAGCTTGAAAAAATTATCAGAACAAATGGGGGGACAATTGACAAGCCACCAGCTTTGTCATCATCAATGCCACTAGAGTATCAGTGGCCCAAAGGAAAATTCAGATATACGCAAGCACACAACCATCAGTGCACATCAAAAGTAGACAAACTTAACCCCCAACTGCAGGGCCCAATGGAATTCAATTTCTTTCTGTATTATGTACCCCATACCCATCCCGTGGGCGGTGGTGTAAAGGATTACCAAAGCACACAATCGGTTCAGGAACTGAACCCTCTAGTTCGTTTAGCTAAGCAAATAACAATCTTTGGACACTAATTACACAATTATTAATGTTATATATACATGTACACATACTCATACATGTATATATATACATATACATATACATACATATTCAATCTACACAAATACACACATCAATAATCTTTTGTATCACAAGTGATTCAACAAGAGGCTCACAACAGTCACTATACAAGGCACTTTACATCTATGGTGAGTCCACAGTTACTAGTCTTGTTCCACACCCGACGAACTGGGCGGCAGCTTTACAGTCATGTGCATGCATTACCTACAGTATGCAAATTTTGGATACTTCGCTAAGATTTTGGGCAGCACATCGTTATGAATGAAGTACAGTACTTACATATTTCTTGGACACCATTGATGGTGTTATCTTTAAATTCCGCAATTTTTTCACATTCTATTAGAGTCAATGACTCGCCCACTACCCAGGGCATGATGGCCTGGCCTCTCAGAGGCGAACTCCTAAGCAAGAGTTTTTACATTACAAGAGATTTTACATTCCTGCAAAGCCACTAGCACACGAACACACAAGAGAAGTCACTGTCAGTGCAGGGGCACGCTGAACGTGCAATTAAAGAAAGACTGCCCTAAATACATGATGTAACACAAACAAGGAGTAACAGTTTCAAATTCAACAAACCACAATGTAGGACTGAGAACAGATGCTTTTTCACCCACAGGGTTATAAATTCATGGAACCGCCTACCCGCCATAGCCGTAAATGGCAAAACTGTTAACTCTAAAGAACAGCTGGAAAAGATCCTCTAGACAAATTGGGGGACCTTCGATAAGCCGCCGACTTCCTGTCCTTGTCGAAGCCACTAGTGTTAATGGCTCTCGGGTAAATTCAGGTTGTAGCAAATATGTAGACCAAGTCTATGCAACAAGTGGGGCTTGTAACACATTCACGTCAGGCTAATAATAAAATTTTGGAATGGCACACAGGCAAAGGACCACCACAGGACAAATTCCAAAGAATGGCCATCACTTATCTTTGGAAAGACAAGGGACTTGCTCATGGCTACCTTGCGATGATTTCAGGGGTCAATGTCCCTGACCAGGCCTCCTACAGGAGATCTGGTTGGGACTACGAAAGGTCTAAACTCTTAAACATCAACTACAGGGCTCCAGGCCAGAAGATTGGAGCTCCTGCAGTACCACCTGTTGCTGGCCATTTTGCACTAGATGGGTTCAAGCTACTTTCGAGGGAACCAATTGGAACTAATTGAATCAATCATTTGCGGAATTATTTGTCTGCTTTGTTTTCGGTGAACTTTGCAGTCGTCTGTATTGCTTTGCCTAATTTCTGGATGCTTTCTTGGTGTGGGTAATCGTAACATTTTCCAGCTTTCTGTGCCTCTGCAAGGGAACTAGGTTCTGCCTGTGGTCCTTCATTGGCTGAACAGGACTCCTATGGCTGATGAGACTAAGTACTGGGAAGCCATCTCAGCAAGATAGCTTCAGGGAACCACCAAGAGGCTCCTCCAGAAACAAGAAAGCAATTATCAAAAGTTTAATATGCATCCGGTACTCATTCTGTGATTTGTAGTTTATTGTGCAAATCATATTCATCTTGTTACCAAGCCAGGAAGACTATTTTTAAAAACAAACAAGAATGGCTTCACCACAGGCAAATAGTAGGTAGACAGTATCGAGCTTGAGTCAGAACATGCAATGATTACATAATTTTTTTTTTATAAGTAGGGTTATCTTAAAATGATGAATGTTGAAGGCATTCTTGGCAAAACAAGTGGTATTGTTTAGGTTCATATTTAAATTTGTCTATGACAGACAGCAGCACATATCAGATCTGAGCATCAGTTTTGTAGGCAAAACATAATTTGATTGATCATTGCAACATTTGTAAAGTTTTTTAGACATCTAGGCAAGATATGAATATCACCGTGAATTGGAACTTTAAAATTCAATGCAGGTCATACATTGGAGTAATAAAATCTAGCAGAAACTGTGAATGCTGACGCTAATGTACACCTATCACACCAGTAAGCCTTTCATTAGCAGTACATTGTCTTTCAACCTTGCTCTTGTTTGCTGCCAGTGCTCATTAACTATGTTGACAAGTTTGCAAATTTTTCTTTTCTGCAAAATGGCAATAGCACAATAAACAAAAAATTATCTAGCATTTCCTTGGTTTGAACACATGAAATACTCAAAGTTTTTTGTAATAAACAAGGATTTAAATATAAATTCAGAAGTTTTTTAAAAATATATTATAATATATTTTAAGAGCAGATTAATGGCTGTGCCACCCAGGCATTAAAGCAGTTTACTAAACATATTATAATACAATGCCCCATAATACATTGTGTTGTAAACAATGCTAAAATATACCTTAAAATATAAAAGCATCATTTAGTGTAAACAAACACAGTATTAAAATCAACTGTCATAAAGAAACAAATGTATCCCTAACATAATGCCACAAGCCACAATGTAGGACAAAAACAGGAGATGCTTTTTTTTAGGATTGTAAATTGTTGTTTATAGGTTTGTAAACCCGTGGAACCATCTACCCACCTAAGACGTAAATGCCAAAACTCTGCTGGGTTTTAAAGTAGGTACAGCTAGAAAAGATCATCAGGGCAAATGGGAGGACCATTGACCTTCCTGTCCTCATCGAGGCCACTAGTATTAGTGGCCCTCAGGTAAATAATCAGTAAATGTTTTAATTAAAATCCATCTACTCGTTGTTTCTTTGATTTATTTTTGAGGGGTTTCTTAACTTTTTTATTAGCTTGCCAAGTAGATTGAGACAAACTTGATACACCTCTTGAAACCTGTGAGCTTTCATAAAGTTCCTCAAAATCAAGGTCAGGAACCTTTGAGGCACTTGCATGATCTAGCTGCAGTTTAGATGGCAGACTTATTAAATCAGTACAGTCAAAAGGTGTTGTGTGGTAGTAAAAGGTGCCTTTCCTACTATTCACTGCCTCACCACCTAGCCATTGAGAGAGAATTTTTGGAGCTAAATAATCATCATAACTCTTCAAGTTTTCTACATTTAAAAAAGATGACATTTTTCTTGTAATGTGTTTACTAAGAATATCATTTTCTGCCAAATCTCCTGACACACACAAATCTGCCAACTCATAAACACTGTAGTCTGAAATATAATTAGGAATAAGGAGATCTAACCATCGCAATGGTTGCTTCCTTTTCTTACTAATCTCATTATACTCTTTTATAAAGTTTTGCTCTTTCAACTTCCATACATGTTCCTTAACATCCCAAATTTTATTTGTTCCATTCACTTTATTGTTATTTGCCTCCATTATTGCAGATTTTGTATTATCACCCCCATTGTTATCAACATCATTAAAGGCATCCGGAAGACCTGCTAGCATTTCTTCTATTTCACTGGAAACATTTTTATCAACTACTCTCTGATATGATGATGTTGCATCATATTTGTAGTATTGAATATTATTATTATTATATTCCAATGATTCAGTTAGACTAACTTCAACAACATCCTCCTCCCACTTACGTAATATATTCTTACCATGATCATCATACTCTGTATGTATAGATTGTGGGAGGTAAAACTCATCGTGAGAAACTTTTAGTTCCTGAGAAAAAATATCTCCATTACTGTACAAAAACAAAAATAGCATACTATTACTGTCCTTTGGATGGACAACTGACCCTACACCTGTCCATGAATTATTTAATCGTTCCTGCACTTTGTGTCTAAACCAAAGATCATGTCTGTGAGCAAAGTTTTCTGTGTCTTGAGCAATGCAAAAATGTTTTGGTAAACTTATACCTCTACACCAACTGTCATATTTATCTGAAACCCAGTCATTGGCTATTATACTCACTTTCTTCTCATGACTGTTAGCCAATAAAAGAAACTCCATTTCACCATATTTCTGTGTATTTATATAGGTTGGACTATTCTGTAACAAGTGCTTCCAACTAATTATGGGCATTTTACAATGTCTTTCATCCACCACAAAGGCACTATCCCTTGTCACTACATACAAATATGGATAATTATTTACCTTTGAGAACAAACAAATTTCCTTAAAATTTGAAAAATACTTTTGCATATCATTAACTTCCAAAACTGTATGAAAAGCACTACATTTATTCCTTTTCTTTGAATTTTGTAGATCACTTGGTTGTCTTGTGTCACACAACCAAATTGTGGATGCATTACCCACAATTAGAGACTGGGGATGCCTACCAAATTTACAGTAATAATTATCAATTTCTGATGTTTTTTCATTTTGAAAGTTGGCATGCCAAACAGCATGTTGAGTTCCAGCATTTTTTATTAACACCTCTCCACCTGCACAAGCTACAGCCCATACACCAGGAAGGGTATCATTGAGAGCTATATCTGTTGTCAAGTTCTTGGTAACTATATCACAGTCAGCACTTTTAAGTTCTTTTTCTTTCCAACAGACCAATTCGGCTTTTCTTTTTGATCGAAGCAATATATATCTATCATGGTTTACTTCCATAGACACAATTTGGTGGATAGTCTTCTCCTGTGGAATGTAACCAATTTTCTTTAGTTTAAAAAATGGACTGTTCCTTGAATTTTGTTTTTTTTTATAATATACACCTTGCTTCAGCTTAGAAATTACAATTTGCTGCTGTCTATCTTCCCAGTCTGGATGTATCACATAATTCTCACCATTTACCTCCAGCACATCCAGGCAGTTGCTCGTAATGCAGCATTTTTCATTTTTTATTTTCACAGTTGAATGAATTTTGTTCGGTTTAAGAAGTGGGTATGCAAATTCCAAGGTCTTGTCTAAGGGGAATTTTTTCTCAATGTCCTTATGTTTCCTGTATCGATGCTTAGTGGACTGAGAAGTCGATTGAGGAGCACATTGGTCTGGAAAAATTGGAAATTATTTACTCTTTAAATATTATCATGTGTACTTTACACTAGTAGCAAGTCATAATTTAAAACGCTTACATTAGTAATGTGGTTTTACACATTCAGTATAGAGCTGCAATGGTTAATGAACAGGGTAAGTAGTTAAAGAAATTACATACAAAAATTTTAAATGAACTTTGAACAAATATTAGAGGTGAACTGGTGTATCAATATTATATTTATAAAGTTTCACCAGATTTTTTTAATGTGGTGAGTACAGTAGCAGATGACTTCTGACTCCTCTTTACAGGCTTAGATATGTTCCTCCCATAGCTCATGTTAAGTCTTACCTTATGTAGAATTACTGTACCTAAATCTTCATAATTATGTAACAAAATATTTTCCTACAGTACAGTATTAGTAATAAAAGTAGAATGTGATTGCACATAAGGTTGAGTATTTCTAGTTTATGACCAAAAACAAAAATACATACTGTACATTTACCCAAATCTTTGTATAATTATATTAATAATAATTATAAAGTACTTTCCTACAGTATTATTGATAACCATCTAGTGCTCGCACCAGGATCACCAATAATAACCATCACCAACAATTGCCACTAAACAGTAGATAATACCTCAAACAGAAAGAAGTCATAAGCAGAAATGGGTACAGTATACACTTGCACAAAATGCAAAACTGTTGTAGATTATTTCCATTACATTGAATGCCAACTCTGTTCTTCATCCACACAATAAATGTGTAAATATGCCAGATAATTCAAGAACAAATGTAATTGGCAAACAATATACTGGTTGTATGACCAGGATAATATAACCGTTCTGAAGTAACTGAAATTGTGGACAATATTCCTGCAGATTACGGAGAAGCACTCCTAACTGCCTACTTAGAAACTGTAAATGGTTAGGTTATAGATAAAATATGATGACCAAACCACATAAAAAAATAGAGAAACGATGATGTTTTGGTCCATACTGGACCATTATAAAGTCATGTAATTACATGACTTTATAATTGTCGAGAACGGACCAAAACATCATCGCTTCTCCATTTTCTGTGTGGGGTTTGGTCATTATATCTTCAGCCACGTTATTGTGACTCATCATCTGCATAGGAATAAAATAATTTCCTAGTGTTATTGGTATGGAAGATGAGATAATTACCAGAAGAAAGCTTTACACCATTACAACTATACAACCTAACATTTGGAAGGAGGATAAGGATTTAGGATAGGATGAAAGGAAAGGAATAGTGCCCCACTGCTTGGACAGTTGGGGATTGAACACCAACCTGCAAGAAGCAGGTTGGCAAGAAGCAATATTTTCTTAGTGTTATTGGGATGGAAAATTGAATGTGATTATACAGTACAGTACTGTACTATTGTCTAATCAGTTTGACCTTGCCTACTTGTAAGCTCATGGAAAGAATCATAAGAATCATTCACCATCTGACTGTGCACATCTTATAAAATCAACTCAATGTGGTTTTGTTAAAATTAAATCCTGCCTCACAAACTTGCTAGCAGTTTTGGAAATGGTAACCAGCAATTCAGTCAAAGGACTTCCAGTAGATGTAGTTTTGCCAAAGCTCTTGATAAGATACCATATAAAGGACTAGCAAGAAAAGTGCAAGCACTTGGAATAAATGGTAGAATACTAGAATGGATAAAATGGTCAAAACAAAGAAAGCAAAGGATATCCTAAACAGAAGTGAATCCGACTGGAGAAATGTAGTGAGTGGGGTACCAAAAGGTTCCATTTTGGGTCCAATCCTTTTTGTCATATTCATCCATGACAGATGAGAATATTACAAACCACATCACAACAAATTTGCAGATGACCCTAAGATTTATGGTAAAATAGGAAATGAGAACGATATGTATGCTTTACAAAGAGATGCACATGAGCTCCATAAATGGTCGGGAGATTGACAGATAATTTTTAATATAAAAGATGCAAAACTTTGCATGCGGGTCCTACCAATGCACGTCACAACTACCAAATCAAAAAATTACCTTGCAGCAGATTGATGAAGAAAAGGACTTTGGAGTCAGAATCCACAAATTACTGAAAGTTTCACAACAGGTGGGAGCAGCAGTAAAATAGAGCAAATAAAATTTTTGGAATAGTGAAACAAAACTTTACCTATAGGGAAAAGTAAGTACTGTAATTCAACTGTATACAACTCTTGTGTGTCCCCCCTCTGGACTATAGTATCCAAGCATGGAGACCTCGCCTTCAAATGGTTGTTGTTGATTGAGGAGCGACGATGTTCGAGGGATCAGATGCGCTGACCTTCAAGGAGGCACATCTGCTTTAGAGAAAGGTCAACACAGAACAACAATCATCCAAGAATTAAGTCAACTCTCATACTTGAAATGATTAAGGGCCACAGAACTAACAAGACATCACATTGTTGATCTCATTGAAACCTTTAAAATACTGAACAAGTTGGAGAATATTAATCCAGACCACTTCTTTAAAAGGAACAATGCAGACTTTTGAATAGTTGACATCTTCTTCTTGCCCATATTGAGGCCACTAGAGGTATAGTGGTCCTCAGATAAATTCAGGTAAAACTTTTGTACTAATATATAAATACTAGTAATACATTATAAATATTAACACGAGTTGTCAAAGATTGTTTGATAAAAAATTGCAATAGCCTCAGAAATACCATAATAGAAATTTGTAACTTATCAAAGTGAAAAACATTACCTTTAGAACTGCTAAGATGATCATTATCGACCCTGGTGTTGGCAAGCTCCATATCTGCCCCAACATTACCCCAGTCTGGGCCTGGGAATGCCTCTGATATTGCATCGTTATGGCATCTCCGATTAGTCCATATCGGCGGATTCCAGTGCAGACCACTCATATCTCCTGCTACTACTGACCACTAGTTGAGGAAACCAGCTGACCTCGTCTGTCTCCTCCACACTAAACGCAAGCTCTCAATCTCCACACAACACGAGATCACTTAATCAGTCTTCTCTACAGGAAGAGATTATCTTTGCCGTCTCCATACAAGATAACTTTCTTCAGTCTTAGCTATGGTTATTAGCACAAGACACATCTATTATATCTATATCAACTACTATATTGTTGTTGTCGATTTAAGGGCGAATGGGAATATATATCCTTGATATAACTACTCAGCAAGAGTTAAGCACAACGCAGATGCGTCAATGTAACGCCTGTATTTTAACTCCTCTTTTCTGTCTTCTTCTTTATGCAACATGCAGTTTGCCAGCTTCTTGTTCCCGTCGTGGCCACTAGATAGATGATGGTCCTCAGGTAGCTCAGGTCCTCAGGTAAACTCCAGTTTTCACAAGTTTGAGCACGACGGATCTACAACTTCTGTCAGTCAACACAGTTTCGTTACATTACTGTAGATGTACAAATAAGTCGCATTATATTTTTGCTCTTAAATACATTTTATTCATTATGCAACTGATAATATATATTGTACAAAGTGATTTATGTATGTATATATATATACATTTCTGCTACTGATATTAGCAGAAAACAAAGATGTTAAAACTTACGTCTAAATATTTAAATGTGTCATATCCCTAAAAATAGAATGAAAACGTTTTCCAACAGTCACGTGACTTTTGATCCTTAAAGGTGGCTGGTCTCTCTAGTGTGTATATACTCTCGGGATACCAAAAGTACTCAACCCACTACATATATACCTTGACATATCCATTAGACAAATCATAGATATTTAGTATTTATTAATTTATAACATAAAAACGCTCTTCCATTCAAACTGAGCGTTACTTCTATTACGTTATATTTTCTTCATTGAATAGATCCCTTGGAAACTGGAGGCCTCAGAGAGGCTTGTGTGTTGCATTAACCAAAATAATTGTAAAAAGACTGCTAAATCTTAGGAAATAGGCCTTCCTGTCAAGGAACTCGGTGAGCATCTCAATTACTGATTTTGTTGGTAATCTCTATAGACTGTAGCAGACCGTAGCTAGTGTGGAAGAACTACAGTGTGCACAGACCTGCTGGAGTATTGTATCCAGTATTGTATTTTGTATTGTAAACTTCAGCTAACTAATAAGCAACAGGTGTGATCATAATTGTGGTATTTTTTGTTATTTTGTGGCTAAAGTTATTATGTTTTGATATTAAAGTAACATAACACTGTTGAAGTGACAATTTTTGAACAATCCTCAAATTGTTAACAATCGTGGAATGGTCAAGTTGTACACAGGCTTTTTCCCACAAAGTTAGTTTTCTGGTTTCAAAATTATATATATAGAGTTAGGTTAAAATGCAGGAACTTAGGCAGTATTAGGCTCGGTTAGGTGGGGTATGATTGTTTTAGACACCAGACGATTCGAAGAAACACACTTCCTGGTTAAAACCATAAATATTGTTATGCTAGACTATAAACATAGAGTGGGTTGTATTGGGCTCGATTGAGTTAAGTTCGGTTGAGCTAGGTTAGGTAGGTTTCAAAATCTGTTGGTGAATCGTCTTGTGTACGGCTGACTTTTATCCTTTTGGGTTTGGTTAGTTAAGGTTAGTGGGGTGTGGTCAAATCCCACACTAGACGCTTCGTTAAAGGTTGTTTTCCCGATTAACTTAGCTTAAGCTGTGTTAAGCTCAGTTGGGTTAGATTAGGTTAGGTTGTTTGTTTTAGGTTGGGTATGGTTAGTTAATGAACTGTCTTGTGTATGATATTTCATTCAAATTCACATTAATAATTAATTTGGTCTGGGACAGGAAGCCTAAGGCTTATTTCTTCTTTCTTCTTATTTCTTCTTTCTTATTTCTTCCCAATACTGTAACCCATGGTTGGCACAGTAACTGTACTTATAGTCAATATAATGTAAGGATGTTTTTAACTTTTTTTTATTTTCAATACAATTTGATGTTTCAAATATCACACAACATAGACAAAGATGTATATGGTACCCTAGGGTTGCCAACTGGGAAAGCACTGCCTGTTGTGATGAGCGGAGAGCAACTGCACACTTAACGAGACCATTTACCTGCATTTACCTGAGTGTTACTACCTTTCTAGGGGCCTCAACAAGGACAGGATGGCAGTGGCTTTTCAAAGGTTCCCCTCATTTGTCCTGCTGATATTATTGAGCTGAATTTTGAAATTCAGCAGTGTTTTGGCATTTATGGCTATGGCAAATAGGCCATAGTTTATAACCATGCATTAAAAAACAAATCATTTCTGTCCTGCAGTGTGGCTTGTTGAGCTTGAAACTGTTGCTTCTTCTTTGTTACGTCTGACCATTTAAAGAACTTGTCTGGATCAATATCTTTAAAATTATTCAGTATTTTAAAAGTTTTAATGAGACCAGCCTTGTCATGTCTGGTTTGCAGCGTTGTTAGCCCTCTGGCAAGCAACTGTTCCTGGCATGCAAGCCGACTTTGTTCAGGAGAGACTTTTGTCGCCCAGTGTTGAACTTTCTCCAAAGCAGATACAGTATGTCTTTCTGAAGATAAGGTCTCCATGCTTGGATACAATAATCTAAAGTGTGGGTTATCTTGAGATGATTTCGGGTCTTAGCATCCCCGTGGCCAAGTCTTCAACTAGGCCTCCTTTTTTGTTACACACCCCCAGGAAGCATCCCGTAGCAGCTATCTAACTCCCAGGTACCTACTGTATTTATTGCTAGATAACAGGGGGCATCAAGGTTAAAGAAACTCTGCCTATTTGTTTCCGCCTCCACTGGGGATTGAACTCGGAACCTCAGGACTGCGAATCTGAAGCGCTGTCCATTCAGCTGTCAGGCCTCTAGTGTACCAGAGATTTGCACAGCTGTATAACAAACTTCTTTTCCTTGAAGTCAAAGTTTCGCTTGACTATTCCTTTGATTTAGTTTGCATTTTTACTGCAGCTTCCACTTGTGTAGCTGTCAGTAAATGGTAAATTCTGGCTGTTGGTCCTTTTCTTCATCACTCTGTTGCAAGTTATTGTAGTTGATTTGGTAGATATAATGCACATTGTTTTGCTTCACATGCAAGGTCTTCCATTTTTCATTATTAAAAGCATTTGCCAGTCCCCTGACTACTTGTGGCATTCATATAGATCTCTTTGTAAGGCCCCAATATTGTCTCTTCCTACTTTACCATAAATCGTAGTGTCATCTGTAAATTTGATGTGGTTTATAATATTTTCATATATGTCAAACCCAGTAACCAATAACAAGTGTAAATATTTTGTACTGAAGTTGACTGTAATTCATCTCTATAATGTTTCCATTTGGTAAATGGAAATACTGTAGTATGGTTAACGAAGTTACTACAACTGTGATTGTAAAAGTAATTGCATACCATCATCATCATGAAAATCTAGCATTTATTGAAGACTATAACTGATTGAGATACGGAGATAGTACAAAAATATATTACGTGCTGTGTTCTTAAGTATAATGTTTTTCAGCTATGGCAATGAGCAGCAGTTCTCCAGCAATGATCAGAGGCTCCTACACGGGCCAGATGGTTCCAGTTTCACAATCAGGTATTAAATATTTAAAGTGCTTGTTCCTTTATGTCATATCTTGCCATTCAGAATTATTTTAATATATAAAATACATTATGTTTACTGTAACCAGAAAATTTAATAAAATAACACTTTGGAGATCCACAATTATTCAAATATGGCAATTAGGTCTTTAGGAAATTATTATAATAATTTTAACACGATATATTATTCATTATATCCTGTACAGTACAATACTGTTTTTAGTAATAAGCATTAAAAAGACAAAGCATTAATGTAGGTTTGCTTTTATTTGGAAAATCATAATCTAATTTTTATTTTGAAAAAATTACCATTGTCTTTTCAAATAGGTTAAGTGTGATTGGTAGGTTAGAGCTAAATAGTACTCTGTACTTCCATTTCCCACTTAATGTATAAATTATTACCCTATCTACCAATGTCTTAGAAATAAAAAATTATCCTTTAACATTTAATTCTTCCTCCTCCTATATTGTAGAAAGTCTTAACCCTTAGGCTGAGTTAAGCAATACCAATCAACTTTAGGAAAAAGGGATTTATGACACAATAATCAACCTATGCAGATGAGGAGTCACAATAACATGGCTGAAAAATGTTGACCAAACCACACACTAGAAAGTGAAGAGCTGACGACGTTTCGGTCCGTCCTGGACCATTATCAAGTCGATTGTGATGAGAGGAAGGAGGCAAAGGCAGTAAATAGGCGAGAGAGAGGTGAGGAGAAGGAAATCTTACAGGAATAAAAAAGCAAGGCAACAAGTACAGAAGGTAAGGTGTAATAAAGGAAATAATAATAATAGGAATAAGAAAGGGATCGTAAGAGAAAACAAGGTAAAGAAAAAGAAGATAGATATCTTTCTTCTTTTTCTTACAGTATATATCCAAGAAGAAAGAAAGAAATCTTTCTGCTTTTTCTTTACCTTGTTTTCTCTTGCATTCCCTTCTTAATCCTATTACTATCTCCTTTATTACACCTTACCTTCCGTACCTGTTGCCTTGCAACAGGTACGGAAGATTCTTCCTGTAAGATTTCCTTCTTCTTACCTCTCTCTTGTCTATTTACTGCCTTTGCCTCCTTCCTATAATCACAATCGACTTGATAATGGTCCAGAACAGACCGAAACGTCGTCGTCTCTTCACTTTCTAGTGTGTGGTTTGGTCAACATAATCAACCTATCTTGAGACCTTGAGATGATTTCAGGGCTTAGCGTCCCTGCGGCCCGGTCTTCAACCAGACCTCCATCCATGTACTGTGCAGTACCTAGGAAACCTCTTTAAAATCATGTAATATTTGATCAGGTCCTCTGACTTTCCAGGCAGGCCCCCCTTGACCCAGTAAATGCTGCAATTAGTTAGTGACAGAATGGATTGTCATCCCATTCTATAGCGCCAAAAATTGACACTTAGGTATCCTTCATACCCTCACACTCTCACCAATTACTATGATCTGTTATTACATACTTAAGGTATGTTAAGCTGTTTTGTTAGCCTCTTTTTTTTTTTTTTTTTTTTAGGATGAGATTATATTTTAATGTTTTAATACTGTATAATCGGAAGTAGCCATATATATATATATATAGTGTAGAGTCCAAATGCATTGTCACTCTTCTTGACAGGTGGCCAGGGTTCTCAACAAGGTGTGGAATCTTCACAGACACAGACACATACTCAAAAAAGCACAGCATTTTTATGTAAGGCGGGATGTGAAGCCGTTCAAGACATTGTCATGAGGACTTGTGAGGTGTTTTCTCATCTGAGAAATATGCCAGTGAGTGTTTTCAGAAAGCTTCTGTGTGGTATGGAGGGTAATTGTGGTATAGAGATATTTTGCTTTTCTGGACTGGGTTCTGCACTCAGCTGATTCCCAATGTATTAGGTTTAAGCAGTTGCCTGTTTTCATGAATCATTGATATCTTTCTCTCTTTTTTTTCTTAGTTTTAGGTTGATCTTTGATCCCCAAACAACTCTCACCTCTTAGAGAGAGAGAGCCAGATTCTGGCCTTAGCTTCTGGTAAACTCGAGTGGATCTCGGAGGCCTTGTGTCAGGCCCTAGGGCCTGAGAGCCCCACTGTTTAACTCCATGAAACAACTGGGGCAGGCCTTCCAGAAAAATAGTTTTCCAGAAGAAGGCCTTCTGGAAAAATAGATAAAAACAAAGTCCACATTAAATTATGTTGTCCTCATTTGAGAAAAACTGTCTACTTGGATGTGGCTAGCCTATCCATTAAATCAAGTCAGACAGTTCTACCTAAAAAGCACAGCAAGGATTTTCAGGATAAAAGGAGAAGATTCAGTCCCAGTTAATCTAGATTAACAGGGTTCTGTACACTATATTGTACCTTGTATTTTTCATTGCTAAAATTATGAACAGTATTTTCATTAAAATTCGGTCACAACAGCAGTACAGTAATAATAATTTTATAAAAAATACATGATTATAGTAATGTATGACTAGGTATTTATATTTTGTTAATGCCACTAAAATATATATACAGTACAGTTACTGCTTTGATTACTTAAAATGCTTTATTATTTGAGTCTAAATTTTAATTATATATTTTCAGCTTCCAAATGGTACAAGTCAAGGCACACAGTTAAGCAATGAGAAAAAAATTCGTATTCAGGAGAATCTTAATGCCATTCAGCGTCACTTTAAACCCCTCCGAGCAATTTACACCCGGGTTAATGACGATTGTGCAGGAATGGAATATACTCACATTGAGGTCAGTTCTTAGAGTGTCATAAATTATTAAAGTAGTTATTTCATTACTATTTGGCAGGCTGCTAAAAAAAAATTGTAAATAACAACTGTGGTCATTCTGCTACACAATTTAAGGTAGCATATACTGTATAGTATTAGAAAAATGTAATACAACTGAGTAGAGTATATTTAAAACACTATTTTGATCAGTTCACTTGGTCAATTTTTAAGGTAAAATTCTACTTTGCTTCTAGATAGGATTAAAAAAAATTGTGTTTATCCCTTCATAGCATGAATTGCATGGTAATATTTAGTTAATATTGTTTGTGTATGCAATGTATATGAAATAGCTTAAGCAACAAATATTTTAATACATATATTATTACATACATTATTTGCATTTGCACATGTCTAATTTGTATTGTGAATCCAAGCTGTTGTTAATTGTTGTGCAACTTAGCAACTCTGTCATCACAGAGCTTAATTCCTTACAAGGACGAGGCAGACAACAGACCAGATTACAAGAAAATTGGTGAAAATTATCGTCATCTTGTGGAGGAATCTAGGGAACTCAAAGAGGTAGGTTACCTCTTTCATCTTGTATTTATTTATTGTCTTATCAGAACGGAGTTCGATTTCAAGCTGAGTAGTAGTTAATGTTTTTGTTGGCTTAATGAAGAAGAGAAGCCCTTCAAGTTTCCCCATACATAGAAGATCTTTTGAAAGTGCATAAGATGAAACAGATGGAGTACACAATAATTTTCAAGGTAAACTAATAAGTTAAAATCGGTCACATACTGCATTTTGGTGTTATTGATGCAAGAAGGTGTACTGGGAGACTCATACTGTTAGATCCTGATTTTACATTTATTTTATTCAACATGGCCATGCTAAAATAATTGAGGATTAATTGTACCATATTTGATTCTACATGACCAAGATTATCAAAATCTCAAAAGTTTGACAAAATTAATAAATGTGCATTGATCATATTCTGTGCTTAGTGTAAGCTTTTATATTAATAAAAACTATGGGGATATGAAATGGTCTTTACCTAGTTGCTTCTCTACCATAGTTTATATGGTCTGCCCAAGACATCATTCACTACTAAGCTGTTGGTCTTGTTATCCCAGTGAGCAGAGTAGCACTGCTTTCACCTGTGAAGACTGCTCGTACCCTACTCTTGTATCCATGAAATCCACCCAAGCCAAAACCTGTTTCTAAATGGATGCACAATAGCCCGAGTAGATCAGATGCTTATTTATGGCTGATTCATTTTCCAAAATATTCTGATCAATTTACACCTCCAACTTTACTTTTCTAATTACCCCTTAGAAATTTTAGCCACACTTACTTCCCACCCTTTGAATTCTCACTCCTCCATCCCTTCCCTACCACTAGAACTACTGGTACCTGCCTTCACACTCACAGCCAGTACACCTGCCAACTAAATACCTATTTCCCAACAGTTTACCTCACCAATTCCCTCTTCCTTCTCCAATCTCCAATTCTTTACCGTCAAAAACTCCTCAGCGACAAAAAAACAAGTTCAAGAAAGGCTCAAAGCATAGTACAGAAATGCATATGCAAACCTGGCTAATGTAAGATCAGTATTTAAAAATCAAAATACAGTCTTTCAAGACTATTCATTTGAGTAGACTTCCAAAATTGTAAAATTTTCATACCAGTGCAGTACATTCCAGAGTAGAATGTCTTAAGTGAGGTGAACTTACCTTACTGCTGTTATGGACCCAAGGACACTCCAGGGGCTGATTTAGCTTCACCATTTTATTAAGTAACTGGAAGATATAGACCTTTAAGCAGAAAGCCATAGCATGAGGATTAAGAAGAGAGAGACTGTATTGAAGTGCCAAAACACCAAGGAATTCCAGCATAAAGTAGCCACATGACATCCATATTTGAAAACAGTACAGTGGTTTGCAACAAGACTAGTTCTGTACATGAATTAAGATGACTAACCTATGAGCACAGGTTAAGGTATCTTAATCTAACAACTCTGGAAGAGAGATACAGCAAAGAAAATATGATCACTACATACAAAATACTGAGGATAATTGTAAATGTGGATAAAGATATCTTTAAATTGAAAGAAAGTAAGACAAGAGGACAATCAGTTGAAGCAGGAAGTGCAAATGTTCAAAAAATGTAAGGAAGTACAAGTGGTAAATAAGTGGAGTTCCATGATAAATGAAGTTATTGACAACACCTCTATCAATAAATTCGAAAGTACAATACAGAACTTAAATGTCAGGAAATTTAAAAGTACACCACGTTTAAACTGCTGAGCCTGTGCAGATTTCTATAATTCATGCTATAATTATGTTTGTTAGTTATCTTTCAGATTATATTCTTATTCAAATTTCATGCTATATATTTTACCAATGTAAGTCTCACTGCTCTAATTGTTAGCTATAAGTTTTTACAGGTGTACAATTGTTCACTCCTTTTGTTGATTACTTGCCTGTTCACTCAAGTCACAATTGTTGATTTGTATAAATCACTTACAGATGCAAATTTTAAATCTAAATAAGGAGCTAGTCTTCACTTCCTGTGCACTCTGATAGGTAAACATTACTTACACAATCACCATTGCAACCACATCAACCACTTGGTACATCAAAACCACATTTATCATAACTATAAACACAAATACAACTGCAAATATCATAACCATTGCAAACACGACTCTAGAAACCACCACTACTAATATAACCACTACTATTATTACACCCATCCCATACCCATTACAGTAACACACATTACACCAAATCTTTTTCATTACAACAACCTGTGTACATTACCCTTTTCCCTTGGTGGCCGGGGACGCGCTTTGGGTGACCCAGTTTCCCTTCTTCCCTGTTCCTGGGCTCGGGTCTCCCAGGTCGTCCTCAGGGTTATTCGGTCCAGCCAGCCTGCAGTGTATCCTCGTGCCCATAATGCTTGCTAATTTGCTGCTTTAGCTGCTGTTTTTGGTTATATGTCTTGGGCTGACATTCAGGGGGGGGAGGGGAAATTTTGGAGGTCAAACAGGCTCTTGGCCACCTGTTACCTTGTTAATGATCCTGGCCCTGGTTGGGCGCTCCCCTTCCCAGGGAGCGGAAGCTGCACAGACAGCAGCGCGGTGGCAGTTGTGATGTCATGCTTGTTTGCTTGTTTTCATATTGTTGAGTTCTGCTTGATAGTTCGGCTTTCGGTAGCAATTTTTAACCAGGTGGAGTTTATTTTGGGACACCTGCCTTTCTGGGTGCTTAACCCAGTCGATGGCAGACATCGAATGCTTCCAACCACATGGGAAGGGGGTTCTATAGGCCATTGCTCCTCGTGCCTCTCTGAGGGGGGTCAGGTTCTAGCTTGTAGTCCTCAGTAGGCAAGAACTCCAATCGAATTGACTGATGCCACGGTCTAATACATACATATCAGCCCGGTATGCTCTGGGGAGCAGGAGGGGGGCTCTACCCAGAAAATCACAGGTACAAATATAATAAATGAACTTGATGTGCAGAAGAGAAAGACGGTTGCATTACTTGCCTTCCACGCTGTGCGTCTTCATTAAGGTAACATACTTGTATTTTTTCTTTTCAGCAACTATATCTGAAAGCCAGATACATGAAGGAGATCATTGACCAGCTACGCAAAATTATATGGGAAGTGAACACTATGTTGGCCATGAGCAATATGTAATGCTGTATATTAACTTACCTCTCAGACTTGTTAACACATATCTTACTATATGGCATTTTGAATCAAAATTTATATATTTTTTAGTATATTGCTTTGGTTTAAAAAATATATTCTGTATTCTGTTATTGAAATCCTCGTTTTCATTTACATATAAATTTTTGGGCATGTGTACATGTTAAATGTATTTGGATTTATTTAATTTATGGTATAATGGAAATTAAATTCCATTCCATGTACGGTGTTAAATGCTAAATTAATTTATCATACTTTCCTGGAATTTGTTTATACAGTACTGAAAATACAAAATAAAATGTTTTGATTACTTGTTGATTTATTGTATTTCACCATGCTATGAGTCAGTAATATATGTAAAATATTATAATGAACTAGCTATCCATTTTGTTTAAACAGAATAGCTTAGACAATATTGTACAAACATTGGACTGTTACACAATACTTGCTTTTTCTCTCTAAGAGCCTTAAGGTTCATCAGGACAAAATACACATGCTAATTCCTAATCAATCTATTACCCTCCACTGTCCTTCTTCCTTCCTCCATGGCACAAACTTTGCAAATGCAAATCACAGTGTTAAGGTGGAAAAACTATGGAGATTATCTCAATCCACCACTGAGCATCCATTCACTGCATACAAAAGAACATGTCAAAACACTCAACATCACCTGCAAGGAAAATCTTGAAGAAAACCAATTATTGCTCTGCTAACTATGTATTGGTTAGTAATTAGCTACTGCACCAGCCACCAATAGATGGCAGCACAGGATCAGAGAACAGGGAAGGGAAGGGAACTATCAGGAGAAAGTGCCACGAGATTAGGATAAGGATTTGGGAGGGGATGTAGGGAAAAAATGGTGCCCAACCACATGGATGTTCGGGGATGGAATGCCGACCTGTTATTATTGCCTAACTGTCCAAGTATACACCCTGAGCTTTGTAGAGGCTGATTCACTTAAGTATGATTGATTGCTTCCCAAGATGTTGCCTTTGCAAAGGTGATTCCTTGTTTTAGTGTTTGCTTCATAGCTTGGTAATTGAATTCTTTGCATATTTCTGGCTTTTTTTGTTCTGCTTCAGATTGTTTTCAGGGGTTGTCTTCACTGCCTTTTAGACTATTACTGTGCCATCTGCTTTTACAGTAGTTATCTTCCCTGACACATGTGGGGTTCCTTTAAATCTAGTGCTTTTGTTCCTTTTGAATTGTAGCACTCATAGTTGCACTGTTCTGATAATATATCTAAACTCTAATACAAACTCTTATATTGGTGATCATACATATTGTCCCTGTTGGGTGATTTTTGGATTACTAACCATTCAGGCTTAGCTTGAAGTTCTAAATGTGACTTCTTTTTTATAAATTTTTTGCCAGCTCATGGTTGTCTTTGCCACTTCCTATTGTATTTCACTAGTAAAACTAGTTTTGCTTAACATACACTGAGTGCACTTCTCTTGCTTCTGGGCTCCTCTCTGGGGCTTAGGTCTGGACTAGCGTGGCTCCCAGTGGTACTGTGGTAGATTCCTGGGGGATACATGTGCAAGGGATTCCAGAAACTAGAGTGGGTGTTGTTTAACATTGATTATTAGAGCTTATTCATGCACCATTTATTGATTTGTAATGATTTCTGATTACAAAATCACTGCTTGTACTGCAGTGGCTATGTATAACAATGTAACATTACATTGTAATGTAATTTTAGGTAATACTTAACATACATTTAGTTTAAGAAGGTTTATTCATAATAGAATAAAGGATATAAATAACAAGGACAAGGACATAGTCCTTGTCCTTGTTATAAATAGATGTCCATAGATATAAATAACAAGGACATAAATGAATAAATAACCACAGCTGTAATACACATTACAGTTGTGGCTGGAAAAAGGCACGTTTAAGGAAAACAATTATAGCTTACAATTAGTGGTGAGACTTGTATTAGAAAAACACACAGGTATAAAATTAGATTGATGAGACTTATATAACCTAAATATAACATGTTTATGGTAATTTGCATATCCTATGAATTACAAATGAACATAAATCATAACAAATGTCATTGTAAGACATTTTGAAAAGGAACTGTTGCTTAAAGTATAAATTATTTCAGCTTGAATAGATTTTATAATATATATATATGGATTAAGGCGTCCTGTACATACCAGTTGCGTTGCTCCTAGCAGTATGGGTTCGAGTCACTATAAACATTACAAACTTAATACAAATTAAGTTTAATTAAAAACTTCATTCTTAAATTATTGTACATTTGGTTTCCCATTATCAGGGACAGGAAGCCTGTACTTAAGCTTATTGAGGTTCCCCCCACCCCACCCTTGTGGATTTGTTCATCAAATGAACAAATCCACAAAGGTCTGATGCATCACACTATTGTGATTTCTGTGTGTAATGAAGTAAGGGCGAAGAGGTAGAATAGCTTATTGACAGAGCCTGGGTGCATGGGGGAATTGTGTAAAACCCTGTTTTGTGTCTCGGAGAGACAGCAAGATCTGTGTGAGGTCAGTTGAACTCCCAGTTCCAATTCATTTACCATGTCGTGGCACAGTCGATTAAGGCGCGTCTGGGATCCTCTCGGACGTAGGTTCTAACCCTCATCACGGCCCTTGTGGATTTGTTCATTTGATGCATCACGCTATTGTGATTTCTGTGCGTATTTGGAGAGGGGCATAAAGGTGAAGCAGGGTGTGAGTGTGGAGAGGGAAGGAAAAGGAAGAGGGAGGGGATGCACATGATAAGACAGTACTCCAAAATACAACTGGAAAAAGTCTTCAGGAATAATTAAATAACTTTTGACAAGCCTCTGGCTTATTGTCCCCGTCGAGGCCAATAGTTTCTCCCGGTAGCTTTCATGTAAATTCGTGCAACATACTCTGTTATAAATTAACAATTTGTCACAAGGTAATTTGCTAGAAACCCCAAACTGAGGACGGGTAGGGATGGAGGTGATATCAAAATGAGCTCAGTTCTTGTTGGAAGAGTCATTACCGGAGGGCATTTGACGGTCGGGAGCCCGGCCATGTACCCGGATGTATTCACCTAGTTGTATTCACCTAGTTGTGTTTGCGGGGGTTGAGCTTTGCTCTTTCGGCCCGCCTCTCAACCGTCAATCAACTGTTTACTAAATACTTTTTTTTTTTTTATCTCCACACCACCTTCTCCGGAAGTGCGCGAGTTCACCCGTTCCGGTAGTCCATATTGCTAACAGATATATATGGTAATCATTATTTTATCTCATACTGTATTTCCATATCCGTCTTTGGCTTTGACATTTTACATTTACATTTAAGAAATATACACTGATCATGTGTGTGTATAAATCTGGTCGTACTTTTCATAAAATATTATGAAACCTGGAATGAACCCAAGTGAAAAGTGGGGGAAATCTGGCTTGGTGGGTGTGAGAGGGAGCTAGGTAAGGAGTCAACAAGGTCAGGCGAGGCTCCCAGCATCCCTCTCTCTCTCACCTTCATTCACCATCCACGACGCTCGCCCCACACCACCACCACACTACCCTCCGAGACGTTCATCAAGACACAGGTGCCCTCAGATCAGCAATCACCTTTCTCACCTACTTGTGTCGTGGGGACTGTGTTATCTAATATGCAGCGCGAGAGTGAAGTGAGGCACTTGAATTAAGTGACGCGCGACGTCCAAAAATCCTAGCATTTGGATCACGTGTTATTATATAGGATTCGACGTATGCTTCCTGGTGCATATAGCTTGAATTTACCCGATATCTTGAAGTATTTCGCTGAGCAGTGTTGTAGTGTCGCGCAAACGGAAACATGGAAATAAAAGCAATAATGCTTGTGGTGATGATGCCAATGGTTGTGGTGATCACTGGGATAGCTGCCTTGCCCCAGACCAGCATGGAACACACGCCAAGAGACCACCAGCGTGCCCTATCTCTGGAACATCTCGAGAGCCCTAACACTGCATCAATTATTACCTCAGAGTCCTTGATCAGCGCTCAGGAGTCCTTAAACGAGCAAACCGACGAGCCGACGGTGTTTCAAACCACAACTGAAAGCTTTGAACTCCCTACCACTACGTCAATGCCACCGACCACAACGGAGTTTCCGACTGAAATTGACACTACATATCCTATTAATTCTGTCATCTCCAATGGCCCGTCACTTCCTGAAGATGGTGAAATCCATACCCTTCTCATAACGTTCCCAAATATAAGCTGTCCACAGGGATTCCGGGCTGATCCCAACGGCAGGTGTCGACCAACTTTCAGACGACCATTTAATCTAGGCTGGAGTTTGAACGACGAACAGCAGCCTCTTCTTCATCGCTTTGCAACGGTAACTCAGAGGAATTCCCCCTCAAAAATATCACAACAAATTGACCCAGGAAGTGGAAATAAAATTATTAAATTATGAATTATTAAAATTCGATAAACGTATTTCTCTTGCTGGCAGTGAGAATTATAGCACGAAACTTTACCTTTCATGAATTATAATGGCAGTGTGAAAGTTAAAAAGTTTTGAAACGACGTAATGCTTTACGACGGATAAGTCAAGATGTGGAAAATTATCGCTCTCTATTTACTCCTCTGTAGACGTGAAACTGGATCGATAGTGCAGAATCCTGTGTGACCACTACATCTCCGTGTATTGTTGAACTCGGGTTCTCCTCGTCATCTTCTTTGAAGCCTTCGACATACACCTGCATTTTAAAGTGGCGAGGCCTGTAACGCCACAAATAGCCAGTATCCAGTCCCTGCTTGCCTGACCGTCTTGTACAACTGCCGGCCGTGGCAGTATAGGCGGAACCAGCCACTGCATCATAAGCTGTGAGGCCTGCCTAGCAACTTCCTCGCCTCTCTTTACCGGACAGAAGTCAGCGTTTAGAGCACCTCTGACGTCAAAGCTTCACTACCACCTGGCACATCCAGAGTTGATCGTTTTCGTTGCTGCAGTATAATATGTAGCTGTAGGCTAGTTGATTGGTATATTGTATCATTCTCATAAAAGTGTACCGTTGACTATTATGTTTTCGGGAAATTTTTCAAGTAGGAAAGTGTTAAGTGTTAACTGCCAGTAGGCTATTGACAAACTCCAAATTACTCTTACAGTATTACCACCCAACCACTTTGACTGGATGGTAGAACGACGGTCTCGCTTCATGCAGGTCTGCATTCAATTCCCAACCGTCCAATTGGTTGGGCACCATTCCTTCCCCCGTCATATCCAACATCCTAATCCTGACCCCTTCCAAGTGCTATAAAGGCGTTATAGCTTGGCGCTTTCCCTGACAATTAATTAATTACAGTATTACCATAAACGCTAAGCGAATCTTGTCCTTAGGCCAAAATTTCATATATTTATGAGAATATGATTAAGTTTCATTCTTAATTAATAAAGTATGTAAAACTAATATTTCTTTGAATTGTAGTAGCTATATGTAAGTTTACCCTGAGTTATGTAAAGTCACCTCATTGTCCCAAAAGATTTTCTCATGTGAAGGTGTCACCTGAATTCTGGGAACATCACTTGCTTGTCATCACACTAGAACCATGTACATGACCTCCCAAAACCCAGTGATTGATAAAGATTAAGCCACACACAAAAAGTGGCAGAGGCATGAATAGCCCGTAAGAAATCCAGTGTTGTTGTTATAGATTCAGCTACTCGGAACAAGTTCCAAGTAGCACGGGCTATGGTGAGCCCGTAGTGGACTTCCAGGCACAGGAGCGGTGCTGTGTGTGTGAAAAACCCAGTGATTGTTGTTGTTTAAGATTCGCTACTTTGAACAAAATGTTCCAAGTAGCACGGGCTCACCATACTGTGTACTCTATGTACTGTACTGTGTAAGCTGCGTGTAATGTACTGAGAGCATATATGTTTCTAAAATTATTGTGATTGTTTGTTGTTAGTATATATATTTTTATATATATTTCCTTGTTTATTGTGGTTTGCAATTTTTATATATATAATAGTTGTGGTCGTTTTCGAACCCGTTGTTGATGTTCATAAAAAACTGGTTAACTCGCTTTTCATGACTGTAACTTGCTTAGTTAAATTACTTTTGGGGGGTTCAGCTTCTGAGCCCATTACATGTGCCTCTGTAATTTTTACACTACCACCCACAGGATGGGTATGGGGTGTATAATAAATGAACTAAACTGAACTGAACCCATTCTCAACCTAACAAAGAGCCCACTGAGTTCTTTTCCCTATATGTATATCTATTTTCCAGAATTTCACTAAAACTCTTCGCCATCAGGCTAACACTTCATAGCAATTTAGTTCATACTGATCCTTTTGCTACCGACATTCCCAGTAATTACTCTATTTTAGGGTTGTCTTGTGCTTTCCGTTATTGGGACTATTTATGTCCTTTTCCAGATGATTATTATTTCTGAGAGACCTACTCTCTCGAGTGTCCGTCCTCAGAACAAATCCATTACCATGAGAAACCTCTTCCACGCAATCAAGCCTAACCTAACAACCAAATGTAATCAAGCCTAACCTAACTAAACGTAATCAAGTCTAAGCTAACCAAACATAATCAAGCCTAACTTAATCAAACCAAAATTGAGAGTAGATAATAGCACTTAATATGTAGTCGTTCTCAATTCATTCCCGTGAGTGGATCTCCTCGCTGAGGACAGGTTGCTTATGAATGTGTTGAACTGAATGTGTCCTGTTATCATTTACATGCAATTTTAGCTGAGGAACACAAATATATTTTGTTGTAGGGGGTGAGAATATGGTTGTAGGGGTCCACAAATGAGAACGTGATTGTAGGCGATCACAGGTGAGAACGAGGTTGTAGGAAGATCCACAGGTGAGAACGTGGTTTTAAGGGTCCACAGGAGAGAGAGTGGTTGTAGGGGTCCACTGGTGAAAACGTAGTTGTAAGGGATTCACAGGTGAGGACGTGGTTGGAAATGAGACATGAAATGTTGGGAACCACTGGTCTAGTAATATTTCTTTTGTCGCATCTATTTCCTTTAGGTGTTGTTATACCTCGTCAGCAATCACTACGATTTCGTTTAATGTTTCTTTTGGCTGCCTATCATCCTGCAACCTTGGTCTACACATAGGTAATTCTTTGTGAAAAACTTGAAATCTTTTGTTCTGAGAAAAGTCTCAGAACTCGACAAGGAAGTGTTCACACACTTCTTTGTCGATTTCTGTCTCCTCAACTTGATCACAATGTCTCTTACCGTTATTTTTCTTCTTATATGGCGATACAACAGCTTTGAGTGTTCCTTTGCTTTTGTCCTTATGTTATTTTCAGATTTCCTTTTAACTTTTCCCCCTGACTCATGTGTGTACGCATTTCTGCCTCTCTATTGTCCTACTTTCCAAGTTTTGTGTGTTTTGTTTTACCCTCGCTGTCTGTTACTTTCATTGCTTGTTAAACCAAAGGGTTGACTCTGATTTCTAGGCCATCTCCTAGAGTGGGACGAACTGCTCCGTGCTATCTCCTTATTTCCATGCTACTAATTCCATCTTCCTGTTTATTGGCTTCTCTTCTAATTCTTTTTCTTATTGAAGGTATTGCATATAGGCCCTAACCCTCCTGTAGTTCCCACGTCTCTAATCTCCTCTTCAACGAGCTTTTCTACCCTCTCCCCCCCCCCTCCTCACTTTACCTTAATTCCACTATGAAGTCAAACGCAGTTATGCAGTAATCGTAATATCATTTTTGCGCAACACGAAGTCTGGTGTTGCTGGTTGGTCCTCTCCCTTCTCTCTTGTGGGTCCTGTGACATGTCGCTGGAAGAAGTGTTTGTCTGCTGTTTCCCCTCTGCTTTGCTGTCACCCGACGATGGTATACCACTATACAACCCGAAGCATTATGGATTTCAATCATTCCATAAACTTTTCCACTTCTGAAATGATCTTTATTACTTTAGATTTCCGTAAACAACTCACTTTCACTCTTCTTACCTTCACATCTTCCCATTTTTTCCTGCTGCCTCATTACTTTCCCACAACAACTTGTATTTCTTCATCTCACTCATTATACTCTGTACCACACCTCCCACTTCAGCCTCTTGCCTCACATCACAATTTGCCTTTCTCTCTCTCTCTTTGTCTGTCGCCTGGCTTCTTCAACTATCTTGACATGATAATGGTCCAACACGGTGACAAAAGACGTCTCTTACTTGTTTCATAAGAATAAAGGAAAGTGGAGAATGCCTGTTGGCCTATTCGAGGTAGATAGGGTCCAGTAACCTTTAGTGTTCAAGGTAGCGTTTTCTCTTGTAAGCATGCTTCGTTATAGGCCAAGGCATATATATATATATATATATATATATATATATATATATATATATATATATATATATATATATATATATATATATATATATAATATAATATGCATATATGCAGTTAGGATCAGTTTTTTTCTGGATCTTGTAAATACAATGACGTTTCAGAAGCCTAGCACTGTTACTCTCACGCTAAGGCTAATTCTGTTATTGTCACACCAAGCCTAGTATTGTTGCCACGCCAAGCGTAGCAATGATACAGTCACAGCGAGTCTGGACTTGGTGTGATTGTATTCGTAATTACACTTACCAAGCCTAATACTACTTCAGTTACACAAAGCCTGGCACTGTTACAGTCACACAAAGCCTGGCACTGTTACAGTCACACAAACCCTGGCACTGCTACAGCGCCACAAAGCCTGGCACTGTTACAGTCACACAAAGCCTGACACTGCTACAGTTACACAAAGCCTAGCACTGCTACGTGTCACACGAAGCCTGGCACTGCTACAGTTACACAAAGCCTGGCACTGCTACAGTCACACAAAGCCTTGCACTGCTACGTGTCACACGATGCCTGGCACTGCTACGGTCACACGAAGCCTAACACTGTTACTGCCAGGTTCTAGTAAAGATTAATGCTGAAAGGAAAGTACAATGGGATTATTTTATTGCAGATCTTGGTATTATGGCGGGATATTCTCGCAAAGCTGCTAACACGCCACGAACTTCTTAAGAGAGGTACCATTAGTGGTAAAATAGAAAATACCATTGGTAAGTCCCGTGACGGAAACGATTGTCGTCTTAGGAAATTCGTCATCTAGAACCCCCCATTGTTCGCCTGGTGACTGTGACGTCACCGTGTGACGTCATACAGGTAACACCCCTCTGTATGACAGTTGCATTTTCTCTCTCTGATTATCTTCCTGATTGTCTCGTCATTGTTATGGTAAGACACGAAGATCCGTCTGTATTTCCTCTTCCCTAGTATCAGGAAGATGGACGAACTTACAGCAGTTTAATATAAAATTTATAATAAAAGTTATGCATTGTGGAAAATATAATAACACAGAGCGTAAAGTACTGGATTGCACTTAAAATGGAAAGGCATAGACAATGTATATGTCTCCTATATAGTGTTAAATAACACTAACTGCCCAATCTTCTTCAGGTTATCTTGAGATGATTTCGGGTCTTAGCGTCCCAAAAAGGCGTCCTCCTTTTTGATACCGCCAGGAAGCAGCAGCCCGTAGCAGCTGTCTAACTCCCAGGTACCTATTTCTTCAGGGTGAAAGAAACTCTGCCAATTTGTTTCCGTCTTCACCGGGGATGGAACCCGGAACCTCAGGACTACAAATCCCGAGCGCTGTCCACTCAGCTGTCAAGCCCGAGCACATACTTTTATCTGTATTGAGGCAGGTGTGGCATTTCTTCAGATAAGTTTGGGGAGGAATAACTTTAAGAATGGACTAAGTAATTTTTACATATGTTCATCAGCAGCATTTTAACTACTGTGAAAACATCGCTCCGTTTCTCATGGATGGTCTCAAACCCACTAAGTTGTGCTATATATATGTTACTAGAAGAGGGTACCAGGCGGTGCCCGGGTCAGCCTCCATAAGGTTGCAGCATTTAAGTGTTGAGAGGCCGAAGAACGCAAATCTGCCATCAAAATATAGATTTTTGCATGTAATTATTTGAATTTGTAATATTATGAATATAAAATAAAAGTCTATGGACTCGCCGCAAACATTTCAAATGAAATAAAATTCAAAAGTTTTATTCATAAATGCATGTAAATTGAAGTTCACGCCAACATAAGAGTGGCCGTTCCAGCCTGGGCGTTAATGACAATCAGCTACATCAGCAAGTGACGCCAGGCCTTATACCAATATCATCTTGCATCAACAGGCGCTATGACTAACCGCCAACAAAGCGGATTGTCATAACGCTTGTACCAGCGTCCCCAGGTACCAAAAGTCCCAATTCCAATGTCATCAGGTACCAAAAGACCCAGTACCAGCGTAAGGCAAACAACAAGAGGTCTGTCGCATGTAAAGCCCAGTTGTCATTCAGGAGTTCTCCGTTATTAAATTACTCCCGAACGACTTTGCTCGTCGTGTCAGATCTCAAGCATTCATTAAACACGCTGAGCACCAAAAAAGGTGTATCTAAATATTTTATAATTGTTTTTATGTGTAAAAGTAGTTAGGTTTAACAGCGGATGTCAAATGCTGAAAGTCCTGTGGAGCAAGACTGGAACTTCCTGAGGAGTTGAGTTGGTATCCTCACACTGAGGCTTCAGTTAGTCCTTGTAAAACCACAGTATAGCTGCTCACCAAGTCCTCCACATGTTACGTGTCAGTCTCTATCAAAATACGCAGACCATAAGAATGCCACATTTACTATTTTGATTCATTACGTTATTTGAAGCTTCCAAGTGTCGTCGTGGATATCTTTAGCGTGCTGTATCACATACCGGTGAGGCTTTGCTAAGCCTATTGGCAAAAAATGGAAGACTTCCTAGACTTCGACGACGTATTGACCCACGCGGGAGAGTTTGGAAAGTATCAGTGGCTGCTGTTTCTTGGCCTGGCTCCCTTTGCCTTGAACTTGGTCCTCGTATACTTCCTGCAGTTCTTCATCACCCTCCCGCCGGAGCACTGGTGCGCCGTCCCGGAGCTCCTGCAGGCGAACATCAGCCTCGATCTCAGGTAACGGCAAGAGTGTGTTTCTCCGGAGCAGGACTAATGCTGGGGCTGGGGATATAAGCGATAAGGACATTAGCAGGAAACAATGGGTATAAATTGGAATTATAATATATAATAAATGGGTATAAATTGATACGCGATTAGTTTTTGGTACGATTCCCGGGCAAGGCGAGGCGTTTGGATACCTTTCCTTATGTGAACACTAGGTGAACAGATGGCTCTGTTCACCTAGTAGTAAATAAGTACCTGGGAATTAGCTAACTGTTGTGGGGGGTGCATCCTGAAAACGTCAGTCATGTACCTAAGGGAATCTCGAATAGCCTAACAAACTGTCACTGACAACGGAAAACCAATAAACAGCCCTTAAGTATTATATAACTATTTGTTGATACTAATTTGTGTGTGGGCTAGAAACTGTTCTACTGACTGTACGCCGTACCCTACACTACTAACAATACATTAAATGCAAATTCAAAAACAAAAAAGTAACAGAACTAAGCTTCACGTCTCTGAAAAAGCAAGAAATCAGAAGAGATATGATCACTATATAAACGATACTCAAATATAGATAGAATGGACAAGAGCAAACTATTCAATATGGAAGGAACCAGAACGAGGGGAAACAAACTGATGCTGAATACTCAGACGGTACAACAGAAAAAACAGACAGTGGTATTAAACGTAAGGACAATGAAGAAATGGGACGTGCTTTGGAGAAGAAGTAGTGGAGTCTAAACCTACACCCAGGGATTGACAGTAGGTGAGCACATAAACACTCGGGCATCACCGTTGTCAAACGTACCAACGGAAGCACTGACTCACGAATTACCAGCTGATGCTCCACCCTTTCCTGGAGCCACCTGACTATTCTTATCTTGTATTTAACATTTCGGATTTAATCTATTACTCTTTCTTTGGGGGCTGCGGGGTATTTCAATTACTTATCTGAATTTACCTGAATTTACCTGAAGGGCATCATCTATAATCCACTCTAATACGTTGTGTGCTTTTTCTCCGAGGCTGTAGATCCAGCCAGAGGTGGTACTCTGTATAAGCAATTCAGAAAAAATGGATGAATGTGTCTTAGGATCGGCCATCGCTTTAACGAGTTAAGCCTGAGAACAGGTTGGGATCACGTGTTTTTTTTTTTCATTTGTAAACAGAGGGTTTGGGGGTTGGAATAACCAGTATTTGTTTTTGAGGACGGACTGCTGCTGAGGTAATTTGTCTATCTTTTTCTTCTTCAAAACAGAGGGTTCAAATTAATTTTTTGCAGCGACAGTACGTCTTATGACTGAAACAGCCCTCCTCTAGCCCAAGTCAAAACTGTGTCAAATACAACTTACGGAGATTATAATGTCAGTACAAATTTGGATTAATATATTTGATAACCAACTGATTCGATCCCTTTCACCACGGGCATTGATTTCCCTCATCATGTTTGGTAATTTACTTGTGAGGAGGAATCTCTTGGCTTCGTTAGCATCTTTTCCGGCCCTCCAAGGATTCTTTCAACTAGGTCGTAAGTTGAAACATCTATCTTGCAAAATTATCAGAGAACAGCTAATGAATGAATTGCCCAAAACTTATAATTATAAATATTAATGTTTATTGCATTATTAATCATATTTATTAATTTGACACTGTCCCTCCCCTGCCAGACGTACCCTAAGCATCCCAAAAACTGTTGACGCGCTGGGAAAGGCGAAGTGGAGCAGCTGCCAGGTATACAACGTTGACTACAGGACTCTGCTGCAGGATGGCGTGACGTCACCCAACTCCTCCTGGCCGGTGCGGAGCTGCCAGGCGTGGGAGTACGATATCTCCACCACGGGAAACTATCATACCATTGTGTCAGAGGTAAGATATGGAACTCCTCAAGATCATATATTTTGCTGTTATTTATTTGACTATTGTGCAGAAGTGTAGTAGCACTACGTGCAGTAGTGTAGTTAGCAATGACCGTGGCGCAGTGGTAAAGCACTTGGCCAGCGCTATTTGGCTTGGGTTCGTATCTTGGCCGGAGAGGATTGACCGGGTGCCAATCCTTAACCAGCCCGTCCTCCAAACAAAGACCCAAAAGTGATTCCATCCACCCGCCAAACCCCCTGTTTATGAATGAAAAACGGTTTACACCCGACTCACAACTCGACGTTCGAACACTTCCGGAACAAGGGGCTTCACTGACGATTTTTGTTCGAACCTCAACGCTGTAAATGCTTCACCCATGGACTACAAATACAAATAATCGCCAACAGAACCTAAACGCCTAACCTAACTTAACCTATGCCTATATATGCACAATATGCTAATAAGTTAAAATATTAATTTATATTTGAGAAAATTCCTGTTTTGAATGAACAGCATGTTAAAATTGTTGAATGTGTCTGTGGGGTTGACCGCTGGCTGGAATGGACTTCGGTCGAGGACGGGTTGCCATAACTGTAGCCCCTGTTCACCCAGTAGTGAATGGGGTTGTTAAACGATATGGCGGGTCGCATTCCGGGGAAAAAATGGATTGAGGACATGCCCGAAACGTTATGCGTGTTGGTGGCTTTACAAGAATGTAAGAACTCTTGTGTATTGGTAATTATACATATATATTATTGGGGCCAGACGGCTGAGTGGACATTGCTCGGTATTCGTAGTCCTAAGGGTCCGGGTTCGATCCCCGGCGGAGGCGGAAACAAATGGGCAGTTTATTTCACCGTGATGCACCTGTTCACTTAGCAGTAAATAGGTACCTGGTAGTTAGACAGCTGCTACAGGCTGCTTCCTGGGAATGTGTGTGTGTGAAAATTAAGATTAAGGACTTTCCTGAAATGTTTTGCGTGCTAGTGGCTGTACAAGAATGTAAGAACTCTTGTATATATAAATAAATAAATAAATAAATAAATAAAAATATAAAAAAAAACATTTTGTAGCAACTGTCAATGTCTAAAATTTCCAGAGTCATGGCATGTTTCGCCAAAAACATTATCTTATTTAGAAAGATTTAATTAGAATCTCCAGTTCTTGGAAATATTAAAGTATGATATAATGCTAAAGTACTCACACTCTCTCTCTCTCTCTCTCTCTCTCTCTCTCTCTCTCTCTCTCTCTCTCTCTCTCTCTCTCTCTCTCTCTCTCTCTCTCTCTCTCTCTCTCTCTCTCTCTCTCGCTCTTTCTCTCAACGTCTCAAGAGAGACGTTGGTAGCTCTTTGTTTAAATTTCACATAGTTAACTTTAGTATAACTTAAAATGAACATATATGAGCAGCCACCACATACCAGCCATTGTCCATACTTGCCTTAGTGGTGGATATAGAGCAGGGAACAATCCTGTACCAGGTTGCACCTGTGCCTGAAAGCTTCCAAGCTCCTCGGGTATAACAACATAACTACAGCAACAGCTATGACCACCACCAGTTTACTCTTTTTACTTTGTGGTTGTTAACTTATTGTCATGCTCCTGTGGCCAGCTGTCGTGGGTGTGTGATCGGGAGTGGTACGCTACTCTGGCTCAGTCCGTCTTCTTCCTGGGGGCCGTGTGTGGCGGCCTGATCTGTGGCTGGGCGGCCGACAGGTGAGTGGGCTCTCCTACCCAATAAGTTTTGTTCCTTGTGGTTAGTTAATTTATTATGCACCCCATACCCGTCCTGTGGGGGGGGGTAGTGGAAAGGATTACAGAGGCACATAATGGGCTCAGGGACTGAACCCCCAAAATTCATTTAGCTAAGCAAGTTACAGTTTTGATGAGTTAGGTTACAAAATTCAATGCACATCGTCACATCAACAGTGTGCTCGTGTCAGGTGATTTATGCTCCTTACACCTGAGCCTCATTGCTGTCGAAGGTGATTCATGCTCCATACTGAGCGGCTTCAGCTTCTGTCATTGTGGCTTACAGCAGAGTGTGAGATTCACCTGTTCTAACAAATTGCTCATAGTTATTTACCTGAGGGCCACTAACACACTAGTGGTCTTGACGAGGACAGAATGTCGGCGGCTTGTCAAAGGTCCCCCCTGATTTTTTTTCTAGCTGGATTTTAAATTCAACAAATTTATGGCATTTACGGATTCTGCGGGTAGGCGGTTCCATGTATTTTTATCCCTGTGGGTAAATTAGCGTCTATTTTCAGTCCTACATTGTGGCTTAAGTTTAAATAAATACTTAATATAAATTTACGATACACTATGGTGAGTGGTAGTGATAAGTGGTACAGTGATGAATGGTACAGTGAGTGATACTCATCGATGACTCGGGGTGAGTCATATATCTTACAGGCCAGTCACGTATGTTAATGGTGCCCGAGGCCGACCCCACGAGAGGAGCAGCTAGGGCCTCTGAGACATCAAGACCTCAAAGTTAGTCCCGGGAATGTTCAACGATTGTACACAAGTGTTCAGACGTTGTTCTTGGTGATTGTTACCAGTGAGAACAATATACAAGAAGGTTTGATTCGACGTTGTTGAAACAACGTTGATTCGGCGCCGAGTTGCGTTTCTTTTGGGTATTGTACCAACTGGGTGGTTGCAGGTTAGGACCCAGACACGGACGCTGGTTTAACCAGGTTAGGACCCAGTCACGGACGCTGGCTTAACCAGTTTAGGACACGGACGCCGTCTTGAGCTAACACATTCTCCCTGCTGCAGGTATGGACGCATGCCCGTCCTGGTGGCCACCAACTTCGTGGGAGCAGTTACTTCGCTCCTGACGGCCACCTCCACCTCCCTAGCCGACTTCCTTGTATACAGGTTCCTCGCTGGCTTCGCCTTCGACAACATCTTTGTCATGATGTACGTCTTGGGTAAGTATATGTATGGTTGATGTTGCTGATTTGTATGTTTTTTAGTTTGGAAAAGGACTGCTCGCTTACCACTACTGGTTTCGAACAGTGAAAGATAAATTTGAAATACAATGTGGACGTTAGCAAACTGGTTATTAATCCACAGTTGATAAGTTGTTTCAGCATTCTATTGAGTCTTCTCCTCCGGGTACATGTTTGAGAATAGGAGCAATCTGGACCCATATGTTGGAGGTGTCTATCAGGCCTACGTAAGTCCTAATCCGGCTCCTGTTCCTCAGTGTTGGAGTACGTGGGCCCCAGTCGACGTACTTTAGTGGCCAACCTCTCCATCGCTCTCTTCTACACGGCTGCGACGGTGGCGCTGCCGTGGTTGGCCGTGCTGGCAGGAAACTGGCGCCTCCTCACCGCGCTCTCTGCCTCGCCCATGATCCTCTCCTGCCTCGCCTTCTGGATCCTTCCCGAGAGCGCCCGTTGGCTCCTCTCACAAGGTGCGTCTAATTCACTCCTGGGGAGGAGAGGGATATACTATACATAGACCATGTATGCAGAAATAGCACGTGCGGTCACGCACCCAGCAGTGAGGCGGGTTCATACAACTAGCTCTCCTTCAGTCTGGCAACTACACCAGGGACAGTGAGATCTATTCTTGTAGCTCTCAAAATTACTTAATTAAGCTGTCAACTGCAGTATTTTATCTCCGACTCCCTCTCCGAATTACTAGCATTAATTAGCTTAGTCAAACTGTAACATGCTTGTTTCTGATGCCAGACATAGATATACACGTTTGCATACCAAGGGAGTCAAAGTCGGGGTGTTACGGATCCCCTCACATCTGCAAAGACATGATAATGTTGACGCCCTTGCAAAGCTTGCAGTAAACATGGGCAATGTTTAACATAATCTTGGGCTATGAAATGGAACTCTTTTAGAGTGTTATTAGACGATAACTCTTTGATAAATTTGAAGTTAGCAGAAGAGTACAAACAGGAACTAATTATTACAATGAAATGTGTCAAAAGCATTTATATAGAGCAAGTAAAAGTCAGTAGAATGGCAGAAGTCCTCACTACTTAGAGGGTTAAAATGGCCTAAGCTAATGGCCTATCCCTTTGAGATGTATATTATTGTCTCAATAAACGTACTTGAACTTGTCACTGCTTATATAAATATGACTTGTCTAGAAGCATATGTGACAGGTCGGCTTGCATGCGGATCTAATGTACAGTGTACTCGCCTAGTTGTACTCACCTAGTTGTGTTTGCGGGGGTTGAGCTTTGGCTTCTTGGTCCCGCCTCTCAACTGTCAATCAACTGGAAGTGTGTGCACTAGAGCATTACATTCTATTATGTGTAAAACTTTTGCCATTTATATGTAAAACTAAATTTTCGTTGCATGAAATTACAAATTATTTTACTGCAAATAAAATATCCGAAATAGTTGTACCGTATCCGTCCTTAGCTTCTCGTAGTTAAGTAACATGTGTATGTTGAATGTACAGGTTGTGACATATGCCCCAATAACACCCCCTCCCCAACTATTATATTGTGAAAACCAGTGTTGAAAACTGTTACCATTAACAAGGAGTCCTGCCTTCAGTGTATACTATATTGTTAATAGCTCGAAGTTGCAGTGAGAGAAGTTTGTTACTAGCTATCAATGTAATTAATCATTACATTAATGACTGCTTGTAATTAATCATGTATAAATTACTGCTGAGGTCTGATTCAGACCTTTTGTGCACCCCTGTAATTTTTTTTTTTTTTTTTTGCACAACTCATTGCGTATTTTGGTACAACCATTCCCACAAATCTCATCATATCTTGACTAATTGGCAGCCGATGATCAGGGAATCAACAGCTCCCACACACATGTAATGTTATCCCCGCCTGCCCTCAGGTCGGGTGGAAGAGACGGTGGAGATCCTGATCATGATCGCTAAGGTGAATGGTCGCACTATTCCCTATGGTGTGCTGCACAATATGAAGGTGAGCCCATGTTGATCGTTGTTGTTGTTATAGATTCAGCTACTCGGAACAAGTTCCAAGTTGCACGGGCTATGGTGAGCCCGTAGTAGACTTACCTGGCACAGGAGCGGTGCTGAATGCTTTCTGTGCCATGTTGATCCGTAGTGCTGGTGTTAATACTCCTGCTGAGGTAAGGTGGTCTTTGTGAAGTTGATGATTTATAAAGTTAAAACTTAAGTGATCTGGATTCCTCGAGTTCGTCCTCATTCTCTCTTTTTACATTGTTTGGACAGTATAAAAGAGAACAATTGGAATATTCACATTTATTCCCCAAGAACAAAGGGAATTAATTGGATGAGTTCAGATTCGGGAAAAACCTGGGTAAATATTGGTTTGGAAATAGGGTGCTAAATTTATGCACAAAATCACCAGGTAGCATAATGAACGTGAAATCCTTGTAATGTTTTAAGCGCAGGTTAGACATATAGACGAATGAGGTTGGCTGGATATAATAATATAAATATTAAATACGAGTTGCCCCATTTTCTGGTCGTTTCTGACATCTGCAGTAAGTTTACTGGATACTGCAGGAGCAACCTGCATTATTTGCGCCGTGGTTCATTCTTCATGCCCGGCCGCCATTCGTGTTAGTACTAAGACACGTGATAGTGCTCGGTTTGCCAGATAGTATTTACTACTATTTGTACTATTTGTGCTATTGAACGTTTGTTGCAGCAGTTGTACTTCAACGTGGACCTTCGACTCAACTAGACGACACAAGGTAACCGGACATTTACTGCTCATACAAGTGAAATCACATCAACATCACACATACGTGTTAGTCTGAGGAACGGCTTTGGAGTCTAAAGGAAATTTTTTTCTATTATGAGCAAGGTGAGACATACCTGTCCCCTAGCCCGCCCAAGTACTGACAACAACTGCAGACAGGGGGCTTGATTAGCATACCTGTGATCCTACGTGTATTAATGACCGCTCTCTTCCTCCCCAGAGGAGCTCCCAACAAGAGAAAGTTGAAGGTGAAGGCGACAACGCCGCCGCCGTGGCGGAGGAACTGACGTCTGCTTCACTGTTGGACCTGTTCAGGACGCCCAGACTCCGGCGCATGACGGTAGTCATCTGCATCTTTTGGTAAGACACTCCACAAGGACTAAGACACTCCTAGTCTAACACAGCCCCGCTCTAACATAGCACTGTCGGCGATCAGTCTTGGATCATTCAAGTGGTTGGGCACCATTCCTTTCCTCTGTCCTATCTTAAATTCTTATCCTTTCCAAGTGCTATATATGGCCTAGTAGTCCTATTGATTATATAAATATAATTACACTAGTAAATATATATAATAATTATCTTGATAATTTTATATATAAAAATTATAAATTTGTATATATTATACAAATTTTCACAATTTTCAGAGCATTATTGGCGTGAGTTTGCTATACTATATTGGTGGTGTTGGCCTTCAGGATGCTGCTGAACCTGGTGTACGACGGGCACGCTCGCAACGTCTCCAACCTGCCCATGGACGTGTTCGTCACCTTCAGCGTGGCCTCGGCCACCGAGCTCCCCGCCGACACCTTCCTCGTCTTCACCCTCGACCGCTGGGGGCGCCGGTGGCTCGCCTTCGGCACCTTGTGCCTCTCCGGCATACTCAGCATCCTTACTATCGCAGCTGCAGGTGAGCCGTCTCCGGCAGTCTCTGTAGCGGGGGCTTTTATGCGCGCGTGCACGCGCGCGCGCACACACACACACACACACACACACACACACATACACACACACACACACACACACACACACACACACACACACACACACACACACACACACACACACACACACACACACACGCACAGGGGGCGTGGTAGCCTGGTGGATAGCGCGCAGGACTCATAATTCTGTGGCGCGGGTTCGATTACCGCACCAGGCAGAAACAAATGGGCAAAGTTTCTTTCACCCTGAATGCCCGTGTTACCTAGCAGTAAATAGGTACCTGGGAGTTAGACAGCTGCTACGGGCTGCTTCCTGGGGTGTGTGTGGTGAAAAAAGAAGTAGTTAGTAAACAGTTGATTGACAGTTGAGAGGCGGGCCGAAAGAGCAAAGCTCAACCCCCGCAAACACAACTAGGTGAATACACACATAGACTAGTCCCAGAACCAATAGGCATGAGTTACGAGGAAAGGATGCGGGAAATGCACCTTACGACACTGGAAGACAGAAGAGTGAGGGGAGACATGATCACTACCTACAAAATCCTTAGGGGAATTAACAGGGTAGACAAGGATAAACTATTCAACACTGGTGGTACGCGAACAAGGGGACACAGGTGGAAACTGAGTACCCAAAGGAGCCACAGGGACGTTAGAAAGAACTTTTTCAGTGTCAGAGTAGTTAACAGGTGAAATGCATTAGGCAGCGATGTGGTGTAGGCTGACTCCATACACAGTTTTAAATGTAGATATGATAGAGCCCAGTAGGCTCGGAAATCTGTACATCAGTTGATGACAGTTGAGAGGCGGGACCAAAGAGCCAGAGCTCGACCCCCGCAAGCACAAATAGGTGAGTACACACACATGCCGGAGCCTCGCGGCTGAGTGGACAGCGTTTGGGGATCGTAGTCCTAATGGCCCGGGTTCGATTCCCGGCGAAGGCGGAAACAAACGGGCAGTTTCTTTCACCCTGATGCTCCTGTTCACCAAGCAGTAAATAGGTACCTGGTAGTTAGACAGCTGCTACGAGCTGCTTCATGTGTGTATGTGTGTGTAGTAGACATAATAGAGGAAAAATATATTGGTTAGAAAGGCAGTCAAAGAGCTAATAGCTCGATTCTACAGAAACAAATAATACACACACACACACGTAACTTGTAATCCTGTGGCCCGGGTTCGATTCCCGGACTAGGCAGAGACAAATGGGCAGTGTTTGTCACCCTGATGCCCCAGTTACCTAGCAGTAAATAGGTACCTGGGAGCTAGACAGCGGTATGGGCTGCTTCCGGGGTGTGTGTGGGGGGAGGGGGGGGGGGTGAAGGGGAAATAAATTAGTTAGTATCAGTTGATTGATTGGCAGTTGAGAGGCGGGCCGAAAGAGCAGAGCTAGACCCCCCGCAAGCACAACTAGGTGAATACTCGTACGAGGTGTTGACACCACGAGCGTAGCTCTCATCCGGTAACTAAACTTAATTTTAGGTAATAACACTTGGGTAACTACACTTAGATAATAACAGTTACACGTTGTTATGTTATTTACAAAGCCATGACTTTATAATAGCTCTTGCATTATAAAGTCATAGGATGCATTATAAAGTCTCATAGGATGGGCATGGGGGTCCACTCTTAATAATTTGAATCTTGCATAGCTTTTCGCGAAAAAACTAATAATTTGCGTACTGAGTAATTATATATCAAATCAAATGTTTATTCAGGTAAAAGTACATACATAAAAGATGAGTTACAAACAATGTTGGATTAATAGATAAAGCTAGTACATACAATGCCTAAAGCCACTAATACGCACAGCGTTTCGGGCAAGGTGTGGGGGAAAAATCCTTAGACTAAAAATTAATACAGGTACTGTGGGTATTAATGACTTAATTTGTGGTAACACTTGATACTAAGAGATGAAAGTTAACACACACACACATACACATTATATGTATAATATATATATATATATATATATATATATATATATATATATATATATATATATATATATATATATATATATATATAATTATATATATGTATGTATTAATATAAATATATAGTTAAGCTACTGATATAATTTCAAATTGATAATGCTCTAATGGCACTACACCATTTTATTACATTTGGAAGGCCATTTTAGGAATTAGGGCCCTTTATTTGCATGGCATTTTTTACTTTAGTTTAATTGGACTCTTGAAACATTAAATATTTAACCGTTTCTCGTACGATGTTCATGGGTTCTGTGGCAGTCTTCTAAGATCCCATAACACTCACAGGATGAGTGTAGGAGCCCACCACTTACATTCAGAATGTTATGGTGGTCCACGACCACTCACAGGATGGGTATGATATACTCTTAACACTCGCAAGATAAATGTGGCAGTCAGTATCGGTTGCAGGATGTGTATGGAGACCACTCACAAGATGGGATGTGAGTGGTAGTGCATAGGATGCACTACCACTCGTACGTACTCACAGGATTTGTTTGGGGGTTTACTACCACTCACAGGATGAGTATGGGGGGTCTACTACTACTCACAGGATTGGCATGGGGGTCTACTACTTCTCACAGGATGGGCATGGGGGTCTACTACTTCTCACAGGATGGGCATGGGGGTCCACTACCTCTCACAGGATGGGTGCGTGGAAATGTGACAGCTAAACTAGCCGCCGTCGCTGGCAGCAACAATCAATTGTTGCTGCCTGGTAATAAAAGGCTTGATGTAACTGTCGGTGTACTTTGTATGGTGTTTAGGTAACGCTGTAGCTGTGGCGGTGCTGGCCATGGTGGGACGGTTCCTGGTGAACATCACCTACAACATCGGGCTGCAGTACGCTGCGGAGCTGCTGCCGACGGTGGTGCGCGCGCAGGGGGTCGCTGCCGTCCACATCGCTGGCTACGTCTCCGCTCTCTTCTCTCCCGTCATAGTCTACCTGGTGAGTACGCAAGAAATTAAGTTGGCAAGGGAAGAAGTTTTTAATAACTAACCGGTTTACAGTTTAAAATGAATATTATTGCAAGGTGGTCCAAGATTGCAAGATGGTCCTGCAACCGCACAGCAGTTACAGGACCTAGGATCAATCCCCGAGCAGAAGAGAAATGGCTGGGCATATTTCCGTTCACCTGATGCCTCTATTTACCTAGCAGGGAGCAGGTAATAATGAGTTAGGCAGCTGTTGTGGGTTGCATCTTGGAGGTCAGTAGTTTGTCTTGGGGGGCAACCTTGATAAGCCTTAAGATTACTGTCCTTTACAACAGGAATTTACTAATTATGTGTATCAGAACAAGTATTATCTCATAATTATGAAAGTTGTTCTAGACACAGTACGCCAGTAAGAGATGCAACATCGCCTGGTTGTGCCACGTTTTCGCGGGCAAAATTCTCTCACTGGGTGCCATAGAAAACTGTTACAGAAGGAAGGTGGCAAAATCTGAATCAATAAGAATTGACCCAGAGTGAAGGACCACTCAGAATAACTCAGCACTAGTGATGCGGCTGCAGGTTATGTTGTACAAGCATCAGGGCCATTCGCCAGTTGGGCCACAGGCCCAAAGACACTTCAAAATATTACACGACCAAAGATCACACATTCCAAACATTTACCACCTTCGGGCTACTCATGCCCGTGCCACCTTATGTGATGGCAATCTTCATCAATCAGTCAATCAACCAGTTGGCCACTGGTGCCAAACGAGGACGGAGGTGCGTGCTTTCTCCACTGTCCAGGACAGAAATTATGTTAGGCTTATCGAGGTCCCACTAAGTATCTAATGTCTTACATTAGGAATGCTAGACGTTACCTGCCGTAGTAACTGGCGGCCAGATGCTCGGGGGTGGCTTCGTCCAACTTCCACACATGCGAAACGTGTGGGGTATGGGAGTAACATGGGTCAATTGGGGTCGGCTCTAGTGCCACACTTTAATATCGGCATCAAATACAACCCCCGCCCCTCTTCCCTTGCAATTTTCATAGTTAAGTCTGAAATGTTAGTTATGTTGTCCGTAGAGAGGGGAAAGAGAGGGCAGAGAAGAGCAGAGAGCATGCATGTTTGGAGAGAAGGAAGGAGAAGTGGAGATATTTGAAAAGAGGGAAAGAAAGGTAGAAAGGGCGGGAGCGAGGGGCGGTAGATGGGGAACATGGAAGGGGAGAGAGACCCAGACGCAGCCGGGTACCACTCTAATGTGTGTCTTGCCTCCTGCAGGGAACCCTGAACTCTCTGGTGCCGCTGGTAGTGCTTGGGGTGGCATCCTTGATCGGGGGTTTCATAGTGCTCCTGCTGCCGGAGACTCTACACAGGGACCTGCCCCAGACGCTCGCCGACGGAGAGAACTTCGGCAGAGACCAAGCCTTCTTCTATTTCCCCTGCATCATTCGGGAGTAAGTTTGGGGGAGATATGGAGGCAGAAAAGTTATTGTGCTTCCAGTTTTTCTCCATCAACTTACCAGCAATTATTTCTTAATTATTGTAGATAATTATTACTTTTTGTGGGTATTACTAATTCAGTATGCCGGAGTATATTCATTGTATGCTTTCTGGCCTTTGCTTGGCTATTCCAATCCTTTCCTTATTTTAACTATAGTCTTGTATCCTACTAAAAATTGCTGGTAAGCATAATTTTTGATGTCCATTTTCCCACTTAATAACTGGCACTTAGTAGGTAAAATTCATAATTTTTCCTAATATATCATATTCAAAATTAGAAGTCAGTTGTATTCCATGCAACAACACTCACTATATTATTAACTTATGCTAGAGATAAATATAATTCAGACTCCAGCGGCTATATCCTCGGCTAAAATCTTGCATTACTTACACACTCATTCCTACAATACTTGTTAAATAAGTGTATATCTTTAGTATATCTTTAGTGTTCATAGCGTTCATGTATATTTTAATTAATTTTATCAAGAGGTCGTACCTTCAGCCGAGACGTTTATTGTCCTCTCACCCTGATGTGATGGGATTTCTGTTTTTTTGCTTTCTTTTTACCTGTATATCTTCCTTTGTTAAGACGTGTTCCTTTTGGTCTTTCATTGCCCATCGTATTGCTCAGAGGGTTGTGTGTTTAACACTTTTGTGTCTCCTACAGAGAACACTCAACCCAACCTCTGGCGCTGGGAGAAATCGGGCAGCAGCCGTCCTTCATCAGGCACCGACCGCAGTTGAGGGCGTCCCTCCGCGGCGAAACCTACCGATCCTCCCTCATCAGGCACCGCAGGGAGGTCCTCTACATACCTGTAGTTGACTGACACCGCTAGCAGTCACGGCCACTCCATCACCACGCTAGACTGTTAAAGATCGTCTGTATCATCACTTTCGGTGATCAACAGTGCCTATACCTGGTCCTTTGAGTCACCATGGTTGACAATAATAATAATTTATTTGCAAGACGGTACAATGGGTTAGTGAGATTACATAACATTGGCATTTTTATATTCGTGCAAAGCCACTAACACGCATAGCGTTTCGGGCAGATTGATTGTCGAAAACTTTCAGCCAGGTCTTCTACATCACGGTGCCTATCTCACCACTACTAGAAACGTAATCTAGTCACCATGAAAAAGGTTATTTTACTAAATTTTCAGAGCATAAACAGTACTCTTTTTTTTCAAATATAATTTACTCGCCTCCATTGTTGAGCCTTTCTTTCTTCCCTGACAAAGTTCCTAACACCATAGAGAGTAAATCTGGTTAAGAGTATCGTTGTTGATCTCTTCAATGATCTGTATAACAAAAAAGGCATTTCTTTAACCCAAATCATGAGCACATTGGTTCCCACCCAGTAGTTCTAGTTCAGGCCTAGGAACTCGCCAGGCAAGTTTCCAAGTTTGTCATACAGATCCATCACCAGAAATGGTAACGAAAATTCAGTGCTTCTCAAAGTAACAATACTTTACACGTGATTTCTTTGTAAATATTTAACGACTTTAGTCAACTGTCAACAGGTCGCACTGCAGCAGCTTGTAAGTTCTTCAGAAACAAGAGTCAACTGCATTACAGCTAGTCAAAAATACACCGAAAAAATAGAGGAAGAACAATTTTCTGCTAATCAAAGTCTGCTCTTGAAGCACTTCAAAACCCAACATGCAAAATAAATGCTAGAAATGTTATAATATTAACTTAAAATAATATAAATAATGCGCAGAGTCAGAGCATCAGAATCTCCTTTTGCATGAGTACCATCTCACATTGGTATTATGGAACATGATACAAACAAGGCTACTAAAATTAAGCTGTATGTGACACACCTGAAACTGAACTAGTACTAGATATTCTAATCTCTATTGTCAAAACCACACTACTTCAAAAACCAAGGGCAGAAACAAGAGCAATCATTATCGATATTTAAAGGACAAAAAGAACTACTATAGAGAAATATATTGAGATCTGAAAACTGCATGTTCAATCACAAAAACATCGATCAAGTAGAATGACATGAACAAATCAACAAGGGCCTTGATGAGGGTTCGAACCTATGCGCCGAGTGTGAAGGAGTGTCATGTTACCCCATTCTGGTAACTGTAATTACCAGAATGGGGTAATTCTGGTAATTGTAATTACCAGAATTAGGCTGGGTTGTCGTTACTTATGGAAGGTTATAGAGCTGCAGGTAATGAATATCCGAACAGTGAGCATTCCAACTGTCAACTCTGTGAAAAAGAGCTGGGACACACCCCCTTCGACACTATTGGAGAATTCCTTGTTGTCAATTACTTTAAACCAAATAACACGAGACACGTGGACCTTTGTAACTATTTCATTAATTCACGAATATTAAAATTAATTCTCATACTCTACCTAAAGTTTGCTAATATATGATATAATAGATTAAACTCTTAACCCATGTATGAACAATGATACTGTGAGAGAGGGATATTAAATGAACTTATTGCTAACTTTTTCCCTATACTCTGCAATCTCTCGTGTAGAATAGTTTAACAGCACACCGCTGTGTACATATAAGCTTCTGAATAATATTAATAATGATAATAGAAAACTATAATGGCCGTTGTTAGTTCAGAAGCACAATTCATGAAACTGTCCCATTTAAAATATATCTATATTTTAAAACTATTAAGTGGGAGCCAGGAGCACGTTGGAGACTATAAACGAGAATACTTGTTACCAAGATGGGTTTATGTAGTGCGCGCTATTTCTGCGCTTGATGGTTATAATCGGCCCGCTATTTATCTGGCACGTCCTAGAATTCAGGTTTAAATCCCTTTCTTCTAAATAACACGATAAAAACTCTCTGAATGAATGGAAAATGAATATGCCAGGTACATTTGAAAGCCTGTTCATCAATATTCCACACCACCAATCCTTAAAATACATTACGACATCTGCAAGGAATCCATTTTGCCTTACCTCCGCACGCTGACAACGACACTGTAAACGGCCAAAATCACATTAAATCACGCAAATGATGAATTACCTTAATAGATAATGATAGAATCCTTGATAATATGGTTCTATTCTGGGAGCATCTGTGCTAGAAAGGACCATAGAGAGGCAAGCCCATGTCGAGTACCTGAGCCGCATGTACCCGGGGTCGTCCTCGAGAAGTTAGTGTTTACAAACGCAGTCAGCGGGACAGCGGGTCGTATCTCACCTCTGTACAATGTCCGAGGAAGCCAAGGTTTGTGGTGTGTCGTTGCCCGTGTCCTGTGTACACGATGCCCAGCCAGGCTGAGGGTTGTGCCCGGGCAGGATTCTGTGAGTGTTACATCTCAGGTTGGCATAAATATGACCAGGGAAGGTGGGTGCCTGGGGACTTGGCAGTGTGTGTGTGTTAATGACTGGCCGTGACATGGTTTCTTTGAAAGGGCACATTGGGGTGAATTTCACTAAGACAATTATTGCCTACGAACATATAGTAAGCATTTAATTTTATAAAACAGAACATGTAACTTTTATATTTATTTTGAATTTAATGTTTGTGGCAACCCTTGCTTGGGCGCATCTCGGTATCTGCTGGAGGTGTGACTTGGATATTCTCAACTTGAGTTTGCCAGAGTATTAAATGCATTGTATACTAAGTGCATTATTAGCAGGAATGATATTATGGAAGCAGTTGGCATGTGCACAGGACTCTAGAAATTCTGTTAAACCATAAAATACTTTTATACCAGATTCTAGCAACTGTAGTACTTTTTTTTCACAATATTTGTAAATTATATAATGTTTTCTTTAACTTAGGAAAAATAAATAATATTAATACTTTGTTTTAAACCATTATTCCATATATTATTAGTTGAATTATGCTGAAGTCAGTGCAATCATCAAATATAATACAGTAATAATAATAATATTATTTGTAGGATATACAAAGGATCAGATGTCAATTGATAACTTAGTAGATCTACTGTCTAAGCTCACTTATCAGAATTATATAGGAAGGAAACCCTGCCAGATAAGCAAGTCATATGGATAAGCAAAATTTTTACTGGGGAAGTCCAGAAGTGAACATATTCACAATTTTTTGTACCACAATGAACATAATTTGAATTTCCACACACACTATAATTAAAAAATATACCCGTACAATACTGTAATATAAAACAGAAACTTCAGCTTACCTTGTTGTACTTTGTCTTCTGGGTTGACACTGCATACAGTACAGTACAGTATCTAAAATTCAATAATTCTTGAAAATTTACATAACCTAACTTAGCACTAAAATTACTCGACAGTACAAGAGCCTTGACAAGGTCAATTTTGACTGCCAGCTGCTGAAGAATTGCTAGTTGAAGGCTCTGAGCTTTCTGGTGAAACTGTGCTGGTTAAAAGACCTTGGCTTGTTGTTTTTACCAAATAAGAATCGAGTTTTGCTTGCCTCCTGTGTTAATTGGCCTCTCTTATCAATCGGCTCTTTGGTTCACCTCAAGTACAGATATATGTTTCCAACTTCTGGATTAGCACAGTTGGATAAACAATTAATTAACATGTCAACAGAAGACATAAGTAAACTGTATTTTGTTGTTTGTGGTGGTGTTATTACAATCTTTTTCTCTTTAACACATTCACAACGATTGCTGCTGCTATCAGACGTAGTCTTGGCAAAAAATTATCAAAGTTACTATGAAAACAAAAAAAGTTATTTAAGAAAATTTCACTAATAGTGCTGCACTGTGGTATTACTCAAAGGTCGAGAACACATGGCCTAGATGGGTCCGCTTAGGGCAGGCAGGTTCAGAACAGCTAGTGTTCTGAACCAGAGAGATCTTAACATAACATCACCGCTCTTTATCTAATATGTTAACTTGTCATAAACTATTTGCTTTGGAATCATGGCTATGATTAAGATGGGGGACACTGCAAACATCAGTTCTAAAATATAGAACAAATGCAATAGAAGATTAGCTAAAAACATTAATATATATGATAGTTCAAATTTATACATTTCATTAAATGAATTAAAATGGTTAAAATTTACATCTAAAATATACTACAGTATCATTACAGTATATGCAAATTAAAGGATAAAGATAGGTACACAAGAAAGAAAGAAATATACAAAAATTAACAACATACAGTGCTTCTAAGAGGATGACAATTACAGTACTGTATTGCATAAATAAGCGAGTCACGGATTTGGCCATTCAACCTGGGGTCTGATTCTAGCAATTGAGATACTTTCCCAGATGTTAAGTTCCAGACATGACGCATTAGAAAACAGAACAGCAAAATCGCTGCGAGTGAAAAGGTGGCCCATTTCCTTGCAGTGATCTCAAATAGCAGAGGATGCATACTGTATTGTCTAAGAGACATACCAGTGTGGTAAGAGATTCCTATGTGCTCACAATTGCAGTGTTTAACCCTTAGACAGCAGTTATCATACATTTATGCACAGGGTAATGCAGTTATCATCATGTATTGATTTAAACTATTATTGTCTGGGTTTTACATGTGTTATAAGTCTATAATAGCTCTATATGGATGTAATTGAGTTTACCTTGACCCATGGAAAAAAAATTCTGCTATGATTTCATGGTTACATCATTAGGCAAATGCAGTTATCATTAATGTTACTAGGTGAATGCAGGCATTGTATAAAATTCTGTCATAATTACATGGTATGCATACCAGCGTTGTTCATATGGTTTGTTTCGTGAGGTATTTACCACGTATTGGATACTGTATTCAAAGTTTGAACATTTAGGGTGACAATACCAGATCTGAGGTCAAAGGGTAAAGGATCTCTTATAATTTAAATAGTTTCCATTGGTGTAGTTGTTAGTAAACACGAATTGAAACTGATTTGTGATAAGTATGTCTTAGAATATTATGACTTGATATTGGTTCAGGACAGATTAAAGCATCATCGTTTTTAAATTTGCTGATGTGTGGTTGGACATCAATATTACAAATTTTCAATAGGTTAGAGATCAGAAGAAAGCCACAAAAGTTTCGAAGAATCTTGTCTCTCCTTCAATCTGAACATTAAAAGCTTTTATCATCTTCCCTGTGCATGTAAAAAAAATCCTCCTAAAAATTGTTTTTGTTATGTTGTAGGTAAGAATGCAAGAATTATGAATATACAATTTAAGATGCTGTAGTGAAGTCATGACATTGACAGATTTTGTTGGTTGACAGATTGGCTGGCTGCTTGTGTATACGTAATGACATATAATGGGGTGAGGTGTTGCTTTACAATACTGTGTCATTATTTATTTGTGTGTTAATTTACAGTACTTTATAGAGATACCTTTATGCACTGCATAAAGACAGGACACTGCAATATGGGGTACTGCAGTGTCCAGTACCAAATGACACTGCAAACTAAACTTGGTGTTAGAGTTTCTTGGAACTGTTATGATGATAGATTGATAAACTGTGAATAGAATGTTGATGTACTGTATACTTTAATAAACTTTGTTTCTCAGCTCATCAATGTTGTAATCTGCCTGGCTAAATGAATTTTTGAATTAAATTCCTGATACCATAATTTGCCTCTAACCTTTTCCACTACCATTCACAGGATGGGTATGGAGTTTCACTACCACTCATGGCATGGGTATAGGGTTTCACTACCACTCACAGGATGGGTATAGGGTTTCACCACCACTCACAGAATGGGTATGGGGTTCACTAAAACTCACAGGATGGGTATGGGGGTTCACTACCACTCACAGAATGGGTATGGGGGTTCACTACCACTCATAGAATGGGTATGGGGGTTCACTAAAACTCACAGAATGGGTATGGGGTCCACTATCACTCACAGGATGGGTATGGGGGTCCACTATCACTCACAGGATGGGTATGGGGTCCACTACCACTCACAGGATGAGTATGGGTCCACTACCACACACAGGATGGGTATTGGGTCCATTACCACTAACGGGAAAGGTTTGAAAATTAGTGTTTTTGAAAGCCTCATTAAACTTTTCCTCATAATTTTATCATAAAATATTAAATGTTAAATTGATGATAATTACATGGGGATAAGTTTCTTAAATGTTTGAGATATGTATATGATAAAGATTTAAACCACTTCATTTTTTTTTTTAGATTAATATGGTTTTGAAAATTTGGTAAAGATAAATCTGCTAATGCCTTTAATTTGTAATTTCAGAAGGAGGAGAAACCATCAGAACACATCAATCTTAAAGTAGTTGGTCAAGATGGCCAGGTTGTTCACTTTAAGATCAAGAAGCATACATCCCTTAAGAAACTCATCAATGCCTACTGTGAAAGATCAGTAAGTTGCTGACTATTACAGAATTCCATTTTAAGTGTTATTTTGAGGCAGTCTATCTATATTAGCTATCAGCCAAAGCAGTAAATACTAAGACATTTCTTCAGTTTTAAATTCAGCTGGAATGCATCCTCACGAATAATGGGGAAGGGGGACCCTTTGACAAGTCACTGTCTTTGTCCCTGTTGAGACCACTAGAGGTGATGTTTCCCTTTACAATATGTATACAATAGAACGTTCATAATGTTCCATGGAAATGTGATACATGTGTCAGTAATGTATCCACAATAAATGTTTATTGATGCCATATTACTTTATAAAAATTCACTAAAATTACAATATGTACAGTTTCACACATTATTTACACAGTAACACTGTATTACACACTTAGTACTTCAGAAGTAAGTAATAATCAACGATGTAGTCTATTGTGTACACAGCGCGAATTCACTCTCATTGCACCAGGTACAGATAGATTTTCGCTTCCTGTTTCTTCGTTCTGTGTGTTTGCAAACAACGCACTCACGTACACCCTTGGCTTTAGTACTTGTAGGTGGTATGTAGCCAAGCTTGCAAAGCATAAGGTAGTCATGAAAAGATTATAGGAAAAGATAAATTTGTAAGGTAGTCTTGAAGATCAATTTGTAAGGTAGTCTTGAAAAGATTGCTTTGTGAGGTCCCTGATTGGAAGAGATTGTCATTTTTGGAGTGTCAGTCAATCTGGTATACATTCAGCCTGTCTGGAAGAGATTCAGTTATTCTCATAGAGTGTCAGTCAATCTGGAAGAGATTCAGCCATTCTGGAAGAGATTCAGCCATTCTGGAAGAGATTCAGATATTCTTGAAAATATTTATGGAAAACACCACTATGGAAGCTGCTAACACTGTTCATCTATGCTACTTGTATCAGATGCATCATCACTGAACCCAGAAAACGATTCCTCTATGTATCATCTATATACTGTAAATTGGAGATGGCATCGGTGGGCAAGGGTGGTGCTCACAGCTACAACTGGATATGCTCGCTGTATCATCCTAATAGGTGCTGTATCATTTGCATCCAACCTTTGTGTTAGGTCCTTATTGTGCCTAGCTTCGTCAATATCATGACCCTTATGTTTTTCAAGCAATAAGGTCTGAATTTCACCGACAGAGAGTGATCTTTCAACACCGCTTGGACAGGTGTTTGGGAGCCAGAGGCGCATGCGACCCATGGTTGCTCACTCAGTACTAACCCAGCCAGCAGCCCTAGGATATTCTGGGAATTTTTTTCCAAGATGGCTGCCTGTCGCTGGAGGTCCCAAGAGTTCATTTCGTACCCAACCTACCGCGAGCGCATTTCGACCGTGTACGAAAAAAGAAAAAATACTTTTGTCGGTTGATGCAGTAATGGGCGAACTGCATTTGTCATTTGGCACAGTACCGTGGTTAAAGGAGGTTTCATTTGTACAAACATGTACAAATGAAACATTATATATTTTAAAAGATGGGGTAACCAGCTATCTCTCTCTCTCTTACCCTTTATCCCCCCTTCTCTCACTCTTTGAGAGATGAGATGTAGAGAGAGAGAGAGATAGATGTAGAGATTGAGAGAGAGAGATAGATGTAGAGTGAGAGAGATATAGATAGATAGATATTCCATCTTTCAACCTACTCTCCCCTACATTCACCCCTGCCCTTCCAGCTTGCCTTCCTTTCAAACTTCTTTCACATTCTCCCCCAACTTCTTTTGCTACTCCCCCTCTTATACCCATTCCACCTTTCTCCCACCCCCTTCTCCATCATCCTCACCTCTCTCTTTTTCTTTCCCTCCCCCTCTCCCTTTGATAATATTTATTATGAAGCACTGAAAACTGCTAAAAGCTATGCAAAACAAATCCCCACTTTCTATATTTCATGAAAACGGCAGGGGTCCCTACAGAAACTGCAATATCGCACTGGGGCTGTCCCCTGATGGGCCAATGACAAAGGCATACTACCCATGTGTTATCTTGAAATGTTGGGCAAGGCATGCATGTGGCTCCCTGTCTTGGACTGACATAATCTCTTTTATAGATAGTAGACTATACCCACCTTCCTTTAAATGGGTTTCGGTTTTCATTAAAATTAAACTCCAGTGTCAGGTTTCTGGGACAAGACTCCATTGTTGGGTACCTTTTAATATTGAATTGTCATGCTGTAGATGAATATTAAAACACCTTTAGGCATACATACTACTTAAAGCTTGAAAACAATATTACTTCACATAAATCACTGAGGTTGAATACAAATCACTGGAAACTTGATATTTGTGTTTAAGGTTGCCCAATCTACACATAACAGGACCTACCTTAATCTCTCGTATTGAGCTTTGTGAAAATTTTGGATTTGTGGTTTTATTCAGCTTGATATGTCCCAAATTTTTAAACCTATTGTTTCTTTTTAGATATCTTGTATGTTTGCACATGTAAAACTAATGTAAAACATGTAAAAATGAAGACTATCAGAAAATTTGTTGGTTTAGTTTCATATCACGCTTTAGGCAATAATTTTGTTTCGCTGGGAATGGCTAACTTAACCCTAACCATGATCTTAATTGTGTATTATGCTGGCAATGTAGATAAGACCAAATATGGCCAAAACAGTTTGTGTACCAGTGGTTTTATTATGCATCTTTATTAACAAATAAGCTACCACTATATTATGTTCTGTATGGTTTTTAAATAAATTATTATTATTATTACAAGGGCTTCCCTGTCTGAAGTGCCCCAAAACCTGAATCTGGCACTTCCCCTAAATATATTTATGTTAATAATATAATCAATTGTAGATTAGTAGGTGGGGTTTTCCATACATTGCCATATCATATCACAGCATCCTTTTTGCCAACCCAGAAAAAAAAAATTGAGCCCTCCGCTAACTAACCTCTATTTTTGCTTCTTATTTTGCATAATAAAAACTTAATTTTGTTTCAGAAACTTGTTCAAACCACAGTAAGATTTAGATTTGATGGTCAGCCAATATCAGAGAATGACACTCCACAAGGCTTGGAAATGGAAGACGGTGACACTATAGAGGTGTTTCAGCAGCAGACTGGTGGTTGCTTCCACCACTACCTCCCACAGTTGTGACCCTCCCATTCAAATCAGCATTTCTCTTCTGAAATACTTGCGCCCTCAAGCCTCGACCGGTATTGTCCTATGGAGAAAAGTAGCCAGTGGTATTTTTGTCACGAATGATGAAGCTCAAGTAAGATATTTTATTGTCTGTTGTATGTCTACACTTTCTCGGAAACCTTTACTAAGTAAAATGAGCTTAGTTTTCTCAGTCTTATACTCAGAAATACCAACCTTCCTGTGGAAGCCACTTTGAGATTTGTAGCATCAGATTTATTTGAGGCAATAGATTTGCCATTGACTACTGTTCTCAGTGATGGATTAAAGATGCTTGAAGGTTGTATTTTGTGTGTTGGTATGGAAGGACAGTTATGAGCAATATTTTTCGTTTTTGCATACCTGTACTATAACTGACATTTTTATCAAAGTATGTGGCAACAGAAGTTAATTTATCACACATCTTTGAGAGCATATTACAGTAATATGACTCTTAGATTGCTTTACATTACTCTTTTTAATTGCTAAGCCACAAACTGCAGTTAACTGGTGAATGGAAAGGCTTCCTTCATATACTGTTATGGATCCAGCAAATATGTTGGCTCCATCTGACTTGAAGACCAAAAGGTTGGTCAAAAAGTATACAAGTCAGAATAGGGTTAAGTTTTTTTTTTTTTATATTGATTTTCCAAATGTATAGTTTTTTTCATTTGCCATTTGCCATGTGTGAAATGTTCGAGTGAACATTTGTATTCGTTATATTCCTAAAAAACAAAATGAAGAAAGCATTAGAATGGAAGGATGTATGTGACAGACCAACACAATGAAAACTATTGGTTGTATTATTTCCTATGGACTTGTTATACAAATGAAGTTGCCCACAGAGTAAGTATATAATACCTATTCTGCATTACTGCAACATGTCTCCCCCCATTGTATTGCACCAGTCCCGGCTTTACAGTCCGTACTAACAACATAAAATGTACTTTGTATGATGTATTGATTTCAAAATGAATCTACCAACAGAACAGAGAATATATTTTTATTGTTTTTTGTGGTAGGTAGCATTTGAGTAGTTTTATTTGTCAAAGATAATTTTGTTATTAGTCAATGGTGCAGGCCCTTGCATTAATTATTCAAGAGGAACATTAAAACCTGGATTTCACTGGTATGAAATATATGAATATTTTTATATTGTATATGAAAGTACCTGAAAAATATCCTGAGATTTTGGTTTCTCACTGGAAATGCAATATTGGTATGGATCAACGACATGAAATCTAAGTCAAGAAGTATATAATATTGTGGAATTGATCACCAATATGGGTACGTAAACTTGAAATGATTGCCAGTTTGTGAGTTAAATGTGTTGTTTATTGGTTTCATTTGGAAATATTGCTTGTTCTTTACACACTTCTGCAATGCTGTTTACAAAGTTAAATAATACGTATGATAATAATGCTTATAAGAATGCATTTTAAAGTATTACACTATCTTTATCTTTCAGTACGGCCCCCCAGAAATATCTAGCTTTTGTGTATATTTTCTAAAGAAATATACATTTCTGATACATAATGTTACAGCACTGCATGCTAAGAAATTTGTATCCTGTCGTACATACCTTGAATAATTAACCTTTTTAATATGGTAAATGGAAGTTCAAATCATATTTTATTTTGTCAAGGCTTCATGTCATCCTTACATTGTAAATGTCATAATGTTCATTTTAAAAATTTCCTTAGGAAATATTACTAGATATTGATACTCATGTTTTGATACAACAATTTTCAAGTACATTTTTTTTTTTTAATGTAAGACTAAATAAAGCTAATTCATATATATATAAAAGTTATCATTTCCATTTTTGTTTTAAAGGCACATCTTCACTGTTAATTTGGCCATTGATTTAGTATCTTAATGGATTTTTCAGTTTTAATTTTAAGCTACCAAGTAGGGAATGTACTTATTTCTTAATGTATAACTTCACTGCTGCTTTGTTACACATTACACTCGAACATAGTTCTGGGTTTCAGAAGTATTAGGCAGGAGGGAGAGAGAGAGAGAGAGAAAGAGGAAGATGGGGGCACTAGTGGAGGGGTACACTCGGTATATCCATCAATATTGTTTTCAAGGGCACAAATTTGTTACAAACTAGTCGGTGGCTGAACTGCTGAAGAGTTGAAGAGAATGAATGAATAATGAAGCTGTACGGCCTCAGGCGCGCACACTTTTGCACTGAGAAAAATGCATTATGACATCGAAAGAATGGAGATAAATCTAGAGTTTCATTTTTCATTTTTCCAGATAAATCTGGAAAAATAGGGACAATGCATCTTAATTTTAGTTAGGTTTAAAACATGCAAAAAGATTTAACTCCTGTTGCATAGCTTACACAAGTTAACTATATATTAACTAAATCAAATTTCTGTGACTTTATTTACTGTATAATGAATGTACTGAGGTTTTCTTTTTTCCTTTTTCTGTATAATATACAGTACTTTACTGTGTTCTTCTGTTTTGTGAGGTTTGATGCATTTGTTTTCACCCACTTAGTTTGTTATTAATTATGGATGACAGAACTGACAGAATATCATGTTTATTACATTCATTGATAATAAAACTAAATTTGTATGTCTTGTAATTACTCTCCACCCACTTTCATTTTGCATACTTGTACTTGACTATGTTTACCTGGTACTTACCATGGCATGGCCTCCCTATTTCATCTAAATTTTGTTTTAAGTATTCAGCCTAATTAATGTTGTGGTCTTTCATTTATGTAATATTTGAGGCATTTACTAATTTATCTGACAAAGTGCCACTACAGCCAAAATCAAGCTAAGTGTGTCATTGTATTCATCCAACCCTTAATTTTATTCGGCATAATACGTGACAGAATATATTCACTTTTAGGGTCGAAAATCATAATGTCCTAACATGTGTAGTATTTCCATCCACATCACCTAGCTATGGCCAGAAGTTTAAAGATTTGTAATAAACCTATATACCAACCAAGCACACACAATACTTCCAGCAACTTTTTCTTGTCCACTGTGAGCTGCAGATGTAGAAACACATGAGGAAGATCAGGGAGATGTTGATAGTGACCTGCTGGATGACAGTGAATGACTCGTATATGTAAGTGTTAATTTCTAAAATTATTGGTCTATATAGTAGTCCTTGCTTACCACTTTTTCCTCATAATTACCTTACCTTGCTTCCCTTGTGGCTGTTATTTTGATATTTTGATTGTTGCTCCCCGTAGGTGTCTAGTTGATTGTGCACCCCCCCATAATCATCCTGAGAGTGGTAGTACAAAAGATTTCACAGAGCTTGAAAGATATTAATCGGACCTCAATGGAGATTTTTGCATTAACAATTACATCTACCCTGCACATCTTATACAGTAATTCTAGTGTTAGACATTTTTTCATTACAATATCTATGTATTTACAATAATGTATTAAATATTGATGGTAGGTCTTTTGTTAATACTGTATATAAACTATTTTAGGTTTGGGGTATTACAGTATCATAGAAGAGCTGCTGTTTATTATTATTAGTCTTCACACTACACAGCTTATTCTTTAGTTTCGTATGTCATTTTTCTCCTAAAAGGCGAAATATGGATACAGTGCAAAAATTTCAAATATTTTATCATTTGTAATAAGATGGTTTGGATTTCATATAGCATGAGTTTAGATTTATCTCTAAATGCCTACGTTTTTTCAGTCTAAGATGAAATGCTCTAGTGTCCTTGTTTGTCCACATCATACTTCATCCAGATCCCAATACAAGCCAAACTGCCAGGGATACTTGTAGCCAAATCGCATTCGAGCTGTGACAACATCTGTTAGTCTGCTGATTTTGTTACTTGCACCATACACATGTTTTGTTTGACACATTTCATTGTGATTGAATCTGCTAGTTCCTGTTTGCACTATTCTACTTTCTTGAAGTTCATCCAAGCGTTCTCGTCTAATGACACTTCTAAGGGATCTATTTGATAGTTCAAGATTATGTTCAACATTGTCTTTTCTGTGGGGGGAGCCCCGTTGGTTCCCTGGATCTATTGGACTGATATTAGCTAATATTAGTACAGGGCTTCAGTCATATGGAGTTGTCATGCTTAATGGGGACCACTAGCCAGAACATGGTCCCCTCAGAGAGATGCAGGGAGCAATGGCCTATGAAACACTCATGTATGAAAGTACCATCGACCGGGGTAGAACACCCAGAAAGGTAGGTGCTCCAAAACAGACCCCTCCTGGTAGAAAAATTGCAACCTGAGACCGAATAGAGGCTAGAAACTCCCTCAAAGAAAAACAAGCTAACAAGCAACACGTCATCACACCTAGCACTGCAACGCGCTAGGTTGGTTGCCCCCTCAAATGCCTTGGGACTGCCCCGTGTTGGTTTTAGGGACCCAGACTTTGGGCGTTGGTCGGTTCGACCTTGGTTCAATCTGCACCCCTTCGTTCTCTCCTTGTTGGTGTGGTTGACCGTTTTCCCTCCCACCCTGCTGCCGGCTCCCAAATGTTTGAGAGTTGTGGGGTTGGGGCAGGGTTTAGCTCTGCCCCAGGGGGGTCTTGGCGGGAGTCCCAAGGTTGCAGAGCATGGGCTTTTGTGCCTTCTGTGTTGGTTTTTTTCGTCCCCTCAACGAATATCAACCAGGTATCAACCAGGTTTGTTTTGGTGGCCATTTTGCTTTTCTGCGTGTGCTTCTTTCTTAGCCCGGCTGCCAGGGCAGCACTGCATCTTGTTTGTTTGCATGTGGCTGGAAGTGTTTGCTCGTGTTTTTGGGGGCATTTTTTGCCGTTTTCAGTTGGTGTTTGTGTGTACAGTGGTACCTCAGCTTATGAATTTAATCTGTTCCCAGAGACAGCTCATAAGCCGAATATTCGTAAACTGAAGCAAATTTCCCCATAAGAAATAATGTAAATTGAATTAATTCGTTCCAGACTCCCCAAAAAATTAACTTCAAAGTAAATTTTATACCTAATTCACCCAAATCTTTAGTACTAAAGTATATGCAAGTTATTACTTTTACTGATGACTTTTGTTGGCATATGGAAATTGGTGAGGAGGGGGGTAGGAGGAAAGGTGTTAGTGTTTGGAAGGGGGGTCCCCTTCCAAATCTTTAAATTCGTCAATAAATCTTTCGGCCGCTGGTTTGTCCGAGCGAGCAGCTTCCCCCATGCCTGACAACACAATGAATACTGCTTCTTTTTCTAAATTTCTCAAACCATCCCCTGCTTGCCTTAAACTCTTTTTGTATCTGCATCACTCGTTCCAGGGATTTTCTTTAAAAGGTCTACATGCAATTGTCTTGCTTTCTCACAAATGATGGCCTCTGAAATGCTATCACCTGCTAACTCCTTGTTGTGTATCCAAATTAATAACAGCTTTTCAACATCCTCAAGTGTTTGTGTTCTTTGTTTCGTGATTGTTGATATGCCTTTTGCCACTTTAGCACTCATAATATCCTTTTTCTTAGCAAGTGCAGTGCATATTATTGACATAGATGTGTTATACTGCCTAGCTAGTTCAACAACCCTGTGTACCATTTTCATGTTTACAAATGATCTCTTGTTTTTCCTCTATGGTCATTCTCACATGTGTTTTTTTGGCTTTAACCTTACTACTGACTTTCTTGGGACCCATGGCAAGATATATAATAACTTTTTTATGTTCAACTACCCAAAAATAAAAAAACTAATTCTTTACAAAGAATTCAGGCGCGATTGTCACTAGGCGGGAGGCACTGGTAAACTGAGGCGTGATTGCTGTGCCACCACACACCAGGTCGGCCATATGCGTATCAACAAACTTTGTTTCCCGAGGCTTGTTCGGTGTGATGACATGTTGCCTGTTAGCTTGTTTTTCTTTGAGGGAGTTTCTAGCCTCTGTTCAGTTTTAGGTTGCAATTTTTCTACCAGGAGAGGTCTGTTTTGGAGCACCTACCTTTCTGGGTACTTGACCCTGGTTGATGGCAGACATGAATACTTTCATACATGAGCTTCATAGGCCAATGCTCCCTGTACCTCTCTTAGGGGACCATGTTCTGGATAGTGGTCCCCGGTAGGCATGACAACTCCATATTCCTGTAGCCTCGAATTAATATTAGCCAATAGCTCCAGGGAGCCTCTGGGGCTCTACCCAAAAAATGGTATTTCATTTCATTCAATGCTGTTTTTTTTTTACTGCAAATTTAACAAGGGTATCAACTCTTATGTTCCTGCAGTCCAATATGAGAAGAAATCCACAACATTTTGACTTTGACTCCCCCTTATTAAGTATGCATATATATCTATGGCTTCAGAGACAAGCAAGTTATTATTTGATTGTAAGCTCTTTAATGCAAGTAGTGATGGAAGGAAGTCTGAAATAATTATCCTGTCTACTTCAGTTTTCAATCATTTTTAGTGTTACCAGTTCAACTTGCAAAGTGGATGCCCAGTTACTGACTTATATTCTTTTCATTTGTGTTTCCATCAGGCTGATGAACAATAATGGCACACTACCTGAATTAAATGATCTGTCAGCGTATATGATTGATTTTTTAGTTTGTAGATTGTGTGTGTGTGTTCTAGGGAACTAAATTTATCAGCTTGCTCAGCATGAGGATTGCGATTGGTTAGACAACATTTAGACCTGGCTTGGAGAGTCCTTGATGGTCCTCATAAGTGACCGTTTTCCCATCATTTCCTTCTGCTCTCCCTCCCTTGCTGGCAGTTTGATAAAGCGGCCTGGAATGTCTTCACTCTCCATAAAACCCTTCCCTCCAGCACTCCCTACTTTTTCATAACATCATAATGGATGCTGCTTTCTGTTCTGTCCCACACCATGTCTCATGATGCACTGAAGTGTGTTTTTTGGTGGAATACGGGCTATGCATTGTTTAGTAGGCAGCCTGAAAGCAGCGCCGTTGCCAGAATGTGCCCGATTCTGTTTCTTTGTATTGGAAGGCAAGTACGATGGCCTGTAAAGCTATTCGTGTTCTGAACCCGAGTTGAAGAGTCTGGAGCCTACGTCTCCACCTTAGGCACCCCGTCCCTCACATCTGAAAGAAGATACATACGATTGCAGGGAAATTTGAGCCAAACTTGTCACGACAAAACTAGGCTTGCAGCTGGATTTCACGACACTCCTCTGACTCCCGTATAATATTTTCATCCTTACCAGACAATCTCTTTAGAGCCTGAACTTTGCCTTACCCAGATACTTAAAGGTGTTAAAGGTATAGGATAATTTGGTTTGTATAATAGTTACATAAAATAAAGGCTGTATAAAAAGATAGATGGTACAATTCAATATTTATTTTTATATTAGTTTACGAATGGTATATGGATGTAACTAGAGCCTCATTTAGACAAAATATGCAATGTTTAATTGTAACAGTCAAAAAGATCAATCTTACCACTTTTCCAGATATTAATAAATAGTTTTATTCAGTTGAGAATTAGAGAAATTAAAATATGCCACAATGAAAGTAGAATGGATAGGAACAAGTTTTACTTCAATTTTATCAATACTACATTGCTCTTCTGGTTCGATGCCTTCTTCGGTAAACAAGTGGAATCACAAAAAACATACAAATAAAACCTTTAATTTTAATCATAGACAGTACTCGTCAAAGTATGCAGCGCCCTGCTCTCTCCCCTCCCACACAAACAATACAAGGAAATTTATAGTAAATGTATTATAATTACCTTTTAATACTTAGGTGGTTTTTCTTTGTGGCTTTGAGACATCGAGGTAGGAAAAAAGAAGCGTTTTCCAGGTGAGAATGTTTGCCCAGGACTGACAGACGGCTTAGAGTTTCTGTTTGAAGCGGACATCTTTCCCCTGCAAATTCTCCTCTACCACCATGTCTTAGAGGTTCTCAATTGGGTTCAGATCTGAGCTATTACCTGGCAATCCTTTATGAAGAGTAGCCTGCATTCATCAAGCCACTTGGTTTTCTTATGGCGTGGATTTTTTTTCTCAGACAGGGGTTTTGGCAAATATTTTGTGCTTCCTAAAAACCTTTAATTAAGCCATTTACCTGAAATTGCTTTCTGAATATTTGCCAAATTTTTTCGGTGCATGATGCCCTTCATAAAAGATTGGTCAGGTAACAGGCCAGATCTCAACCCAATTGAGAACCTCTGGCACATGGTAGTGGAGGATCTGCAGGAGAAAGACATCTGCTCCAAACTGAAGCTCAAAAGGCCATCATCCATCAGTCCTGGGCAAACATCTTGCATCAACATCTAAGAAACTTGGCTCTTTCAAGTCTCCCAGCAGTGAAGAAGATAAAAGTTCAACCAATTATTAAAAGGTAATTATAATACATTATTTACTATATATCTCTTACTGTTTGTTGCATGGGAGGGGCGTGAGCAGGGCACCGCATACCTTTGACGAGTACTGTGGTTGATGCACCCGATTCACCATAACGAGTAATAAATACAATTGCGTAACTTAAAGTTAAACGTGTTTGATAAACAACATGATCAATATTTCTCCTTGAAACTGTAATTATGCAATGGGAGAGATCACAAGCATTGAAAATAGATTTTGTGACTAATAGATCCAAATAATGGTATAAATTATCTGACTTAAATTCTTAAGGAAGAAGTACAGTACACGCAAGAAGCCAGAATTCTTATTCCCTCTTTTTGTGTGTGCTACCAAGAACCTTGCGCCTCTGGGATAACATATGCATGTAGAGTATTGGGAAGCCTGTTGAGAGAAACACACTAGTATTATTTGATAAGCAGTAAATATACTAAAGTCAGTCATTCCATAGAAGACAAAAAAAAAAAAAAAAAAAAAAAATACTGTACTGTATTTATAGAACCAAGAACAGTACCTTTAGATTATATATATATATATAATATTAGATAGATAGATCCATATAGACAACTGGAGCTGCTGTCTATATGGAGAAGGAATGATTGGGTTATGGGGTGCAGTGTATGGGGTAGATACTGATAGTCTGTTAGGGAGTAATTGGTGTGGGCGAGACAAGGTGGTGATGTGTGGGGAAAGGTGGTGTGTGATGTGCACATGGGTGAAGGTAGAGGGTGCTGTGTGCATATGGGGTATGTCCAAGGATGAGTGATTTGTATGTATGTGGGTAGGTCCTTGGAATAGGACATACCTCAAAGGGCTCAGCTGTACCATACTTTCCAATGTGCTAATGCACAGACTAATAGCCAACATATCTACACGAGCTGATGAGACTATCATTTGCATCATTGCAAATTGTAGGAACCAGCTAAAAACACTACACACTTGCATTTAGAAGTAATGAATGAGAGTCTTGTTTCCACATAAAAAAAAATCCCTATGCAAGAAAAAAAAAAGCCCAACCTCTATTTTTAAAGTTAATAATCAGCACACAAACTGTAAGCAATACAAATATTGTACTGTGCATCAGTGTGGCTATTAACAGTGAAATTTTGTGATTTGCACATTAGCCTCCAAGACTAGGACCTTTAAAAAAAATATTTACCAGCAAGTGTTTTTTATCCGTGTACCATTGAGTGTAGGTGGTAGATATACATAATTTTACAACTGGAAAATATCAAGGGGGTAGTTCCTAATCTGCACATGGAAATAACACCACACGAGACCTGGAGGCATGGCAGGAAGTGCAAAATAAACCCATTGAAAATAAGAGATGAAATGGGAATGCTGAGAATTCTACCAACATCATGGTGACCAAGACTTCAACACACTCCCTCTAAAACACAAGGCACACAAAGCCAATCTCTTGTGGTGTTCAAATGAACTGTATAAACACCTCCAAAGGATACCTGATCAACCAGGTAGCGATTCCTACATAAGACTGAGCAGCTGCCTCTAGCAGTCTGACTGACCAGACCACCAACCAAGGAGGCCTGGTCAGAGACCAGGGCCACAAGCTATCATGTCTTTTCCCCTCAGTGACTGCATGCTATCTAGTATTATTTCTTTCCTGCTGTCATCTTTCATCCTTACAGTTTTCCTCCATGTGTGACAATGCAGCTCCAGCTGGTATGTGTTTCAAATTGCTTCTCTTGACTCTGGTGTATTAATTTCTAACTCTTCAGTGTCTCCCTGTTAACCCCATGCCCTGTTCCATTTTTCCATACCTTTCTGGGATTAATGTTATGAAATATACACATGCCATAAGTAGCATAATTAATACAAGTTAGCCAAGTAGTTGATACAGTTTTAGAAGTATCATAGCAAGTTTCATTTTCACAAGGTTAGAAGATGGAGTTATTGTAAAATTGTAACTTTCACGTTACAATTTCTGTAAAAAGTTTAAGTATATTATATATTATTGTTGGAGATTTCAATACAAGGCATTCAAAATATCACACAAACTGTGTATGTCAAATAAAAAAAAGCAGTCTTAATTTTTTACTACACCGTTCAATTTAAGCTTAAAATATGGTTCTATTTAAAGTCAATAAAATAAGACATTTGAAATAGCATAAAAACTTTGATAAAAAATTAGACATTTAAACACAGTTTACCTAATTAACTTACATGGCAAGTACAGCAATGCAAAGATGATTAATGCATAGTAGAAACTGAAGCTGAAGTTAAGGGCATTAGGGAAGGTGATTGAGTATGCATGTGTTTCAGCTACTGCAGGTAAAGCTGCATACACACACAGCAGCTCCCCTGTCACACCTACTGGATACAGCACAATAAACAGAGTGTACCTGAAACATATTTTGTCACCATTTATTATTTATATAATCCCTTTAAAAACAAATCTGGAACAAAATAATAACAGAGTCAAGTTGGTTTTAACAAAAGATAAAATGACCAATGGTTAGTGGATGATTAATGTAGTATACATATTTTTAAGTCATTATTGTTGTTTACTAGTGATTCATCACACTTCCCCGAAGAGATTGCGTTCCTTTTTTGACTGGTGAGAGACTGTTGATTATTATTATTATAATAATAATAATAATAATAATAATAAAATAATTATTATTCTGTGTGTGTGTAATTACCTAAGTGTAGTTACAGGACAAGAGCTACGCTCGTGGTGTCCCGTCTTCCCAGCACTCTGTCATATAACGCTTTGAAACTACTGACGGTCTTGGCCTCCACCACCTTCTCACCTAACTTGTTCCAACCATCTACCACTCTGTTTGCGAAAGTGAATTTTCTTATATTTCTTCGGCATCTGTGTTTAGCTAGTTTAAATCTATGACCTCTTATTCTTAAAGAGTGTGTGTGTGTGTGTGTTTGGAATAGGATGGTTTTCATACAGTGTTTGAAGATGTCACTGGCCTAGCTCTTTTACTGTCAAGTTTTTTGACAACCTTAATGAGATGGAAACTTCAGTCCCAGTCAGCAGGCCAAGGAAAGAGACCAAACATTCCAGGCAAAAAGGCCAATGTGCCCTAATCTCAGCCCCAACTATCCTCCAGCAGAAGGAATGGGCCTGGGGGGCCAAAATTACCAAATAAAACAACCACCAGCTCTTATGTTACAGACAACCCAGAATGCAGGATAAAAATCCTAGGAAATCCAAGGAAGGTGCCAGGAAAGCCAAAGCACAGGGCAACAAGAAACCACCAAGGCTCCTGACATGCACAGAAAGCCCCACACCACTTGTCCAAGATCACGAAAACAAAATATATAGTCAGGTCCATACGTGACAAGCTCGAGGACCCCAGGTAAAACATTGCAAAATAGGAGAAAGTCTGAGACAAGGATGGACAGGGGTCAGAGTAAGCACCACACCTTCCAAATCTATCCTAGGCTACTAAAGCAGTTTAAGAGCAAAGGAGAGAAACTTAAATGTGATGCTACAACATATTTTATATATTACAATGCAGTGTCAGCCAGTTATCTACTACCGACCTAACACTGATTAATACTGTACTCAAGTTCCTGATGTAACTTCAACAAGAGGTTTACATTTTGTGATCAAAGAATATGTTGAATAGGATGGGAGGTTATTGGTGGCATAATGTGAAGTCTGTTGGTGCTATGGTTTGCTGTTGGCATAAGAAAGCCAACAGTACTTGTGGTTGCCTTTTCCTGTATCCTGTCCAACAACCAAGTTTCCAGAATTGCTTGGCTACTTTCTTTTTGGGTACAGGTTAGAGCTATTATGTATCACTGTATACTCAAAGTCTACTTCTCTACAGCGTTCACATTTATAAAAATAAAACCGATGTTCGTCTGGTGTGCCGAGACTGGCTTTATAATCCAGACCCCTGATCTAGATTATCAAGGTTTTTCCCAGTGGTAAATTTGTTTTGGACCAAGGTTTGTCTCAATGGTAAATTCTTAATTTAAATATTTAATGTATCCTTAACTACTAAAAATCATACAGTGACAAGCTCTGAAATAAGCTCACTTAGTGCAATGTGGAACTTAATATTTCCACATCACACAAGATAGAGCCAGTAGAGAACAGAAAATGCATAATACCTGAGGAAGGTAAGCATGTGTGGAACCTGCTTAAGAACGTTGAGGAAGTAGAAGGAGTATCTGATAACTTCTGTCACACTCCAAGCAATCAGTAACAGGGGCAGACCTGTGGATATGTTCATTTAGTAAAGTAATAGGTAGGTAGTAAAAATATAAATAATATTTGGGTTAATATAAGTTACTTATTAGCAGCACTTGCATAGCATTTCTCCTGATAGCAAGACAACAAAATAACTTTTATAAAGGAGTGGCCATAGGAATGAAATGCCCCTTTCCAAGTGAAACTTCAGGAACTTGCCAGGCGTGTTCTTCAAACTCAGTGTTGCAACCTATTATTGGGCAATACTGAACATTATGTATTGGTTTGCTACAAAAAAAAAAAAAATACATACTAGTGCATAAAACCAATTATGACAATAACCATAGTAATATTAATGATATTAACACAAAAATAACTTAATTTCAGATTAAAAATTATGCATGTGCACATAATGGATATTTTATTCAATGATATTTCTGAATAAGGCTCCCTCATTAGCTCTCCTAAACCTCCTCCATACTGTGCTACAGGACCATATTAAGTATGCACACCAATCAAATCCTGTACAATAGAGATGAAAAATAGCCAGCATAGCCCTGGGCTTGTGGGGGGGGGGAGGAATAAAGTCACACTATATCCTCAAATGACACAAGGGAAAATGAAACACTAAGAAAAGATATCTCTGGGGCTGTTGGCACTCATCAAACAGTGCCAGAATAAACTACATGTAAAGGATCTAGGAATAATAATACTATCATACAATGTAACATTTAGCAAGCATAACCAAGCAAATGTAACATCAGCCAGGAAAATGATAGCATGGATTATGAGAATGTACAAATCAAGGGATGCTCCTACTTTTCAAATCATTTGTGTTTTCCCACCTCAACCACTGCACTGCGCAACGTGTCTTGAGGCTCTATCGGTGGTGCGCAAGGCGCCTCAGGGCGCTTGTAGGTATAGCGTAGCATTCAAAATTCCCATGGCTACATGGGGTTCACATCAGCTTCTTCGGGGCTCTCATAAACAGATGCCATTTTTTTTTAAATCGTGGGCAACATTCCCGGGTGCGAGAGCCTCAGTACTGCATAAGCAACCAAGGCTGGCACATGCAGCATCAGCTAACAGCACTGCTATTCAGCTTGTGACTACAGCATCACCTAATGTCAAAATATATATGTAGCTGGTATTATTTAGCCATGATAGTATTATAGAAGAGCCTGACTGTGATAAAGGCTGTGTACAATGTTCAGATGTCAGTGAATCAATGCTATTTAAGATGTACACAGCAGTAGGCACGGCACACTGCCATTATTTTGTCCATCTAGGAATCTTCAAACGACTTCTCATGTTCCTTTACAAAATAAACTTGTAGAAAATTATTAACTACAAGATTTAGTGACACGATTCTGATAATAGCAGGATTGTGATGATAATTAGTGCCGTGTGTAGTATTGAGAATGGGAGGACTTTTGGTAAGGAATGATCGAGGTAGCGTCAGCTGACTGTGTGACAGCCACTCTTGTTTTAACTCAACGTACCAGTTTAGTGGTTCGCTATGGTGAACACAAATGTAGATACTTATATATAATGTGTGTATATAGTGTAATAACAGCAACAGGAGTATGCTGGGAGAAGCATTTTGGCGAGAGGTGGCGTCGTATTCCTAGCGTTATCTGCTGGCTGCTGTGCATTATCTGTTGTCATGCAGTATATGGTAGCCACTATGCTGTTTGGATACCATAGCAGCTTAGTTGTATAGGTATGGTTAATAAAACATTTAGATGCATTTAGATACTTATATATAACTTGTGTAAATAGTGTAATAAAAATAATAACAGTATGGTGGGAGGAGCAATGTTGGAGAGTTAGGTGTTGAAGGAGTGAGGGAGGGCTGGCTGGGTGCAGCCCACTCTTGTTTTTTAGGATCACCATACCAACTTAGTGGTTTGTTAGTGAACACGTATGTGATAGGTATATACAATGAGTGGATATACAGTATAGTGTAATAACAGCAAAAACACTTGATTGATCATAGATTATTATATACTGTATATGTCACACACATGAGCCCCATAATTTTGAGCATAGTGATGTTCCACACATTGAACTACTGCACTGTATATAAATTCCACAAATTACACACTTTTGAATAATATTACACCAAAAAAACAGAAAAAACGAATGAGAAATATACAAATAATTGCGAAACTTATATTCACGGCAACTGCTGCGCCACAGGGGTGGCAAGGCCTAGTGACTGAGCGCTCCATCGCTCAGCACCCATAACTTGCTCAACTTCCCAATTCCATCATCCATCAAGGATAAAGTATGTCGCATAGAATATTATTTTTTTTTAGTTTCCTTTGACCAGAGATCACAGGTGTACATCGCCTGTGATGCACACCAATCACAGGTGATGCACACAGGTGTGCATCACCTGTTGATCACAGATGTGATCATTTAACAATACAAGAGAACATTTTTTGGAAAGAATTTTAAGTGTCAAAAAAAGTGTCATTTTAAGGCATAACAATGCAGTGGTTAAGTACTCTTTGGTACCCTTCCCCTTTCTAAGCAGGAGAGACTTCGGAAATAAAAGGATTACAGAGAACATATGTGGCAAACAGATACAGTAAAGCCCCTAAATTACTGCAATCATCTCAAAGCACTTAAAATGTATATATTCTAGGGTAAAATGTCAGAGACACAGTATCATCACATATTTATACAGCATAAAAAAAAAGCTTACTACAGCAAAAAATATGGTAGAAAATACAGAATAGATCCAGTGAAGAATTGAATTACCATGGGCCCAATTGTAGAACACTATCTGAATATCAAGAGGCCCATAGCTCTTCAGTTTCCTCTCACCAAATATAAGAAACATTTTTGGAACATGCAAATGGAGGTTTTAAAGGAAGTAACAAATCAACTATGTTGTAATATATATGTGGACAGCTCCAAGCATCAGCCTTTCAGATTAGGTCATCACAAGACTTCTGGCTTAGGGACCAGACCTGAAGCTGACTACATGTAAATATGGTCTGCTCAACTTTACCTCTATCACCTATGTCAATAAATATAACTTTCACAATTTTCTTTCTTTCTTTTCCCTTATTTTCACTTTTCTGTTTATGTTACTTCCCTTAAATGTTCTCACTTGTATGGGCTTGTAAAAGGCTTTTTTTTTTCTTTTAAGTGCCTATAAGTACTTTATTATAGGTACAGTACTGTACTTGAAATGCTTGTCTTAGAATCTGCATGTGGCCATCTACTCAAGGATGGGAAAAGCTCTTAAGAAAAAAGCAAAAAAAAATTTAGATAGAGAAATGTATATATAAATACAGTATAATATAATTTACATTTACATACCTAGGCTGGTATGAGTGTTCGGGAAGGTGCAGAGAACAGGCCACAGCACTATGAGACGTGAAAATACTTGGGGTATTACCATCATGACACTGGATGGAACCAGACCCACAGCAGAATGTACAATCTGGAAAAAATTATTATTGTTAGTATTGCAAAGCTTAAGTATGATTCCATTAGATTTTTAGACCATGACCTGTAAACATTGCTGAAAATGATATGGTTCGCTATTAAAAATGCCAAGATTCAACATTGAGTGGATTCAACAATGCTAAGTTCAAAAAATACATCAAAGATTAAAAGGTTGGTATTTATCATTGGTGGATTTATATCAAGATATTCTATAATTTAAATAAAAATACAGTATAATAAAGTTTACTAAACCAAACAATGAACTCAAATTTGGCAATCCATTTTAGATTTGCCTAATAAACTGACAATCACACAATTATTTATTATTAATCCCCCTTTAGTGTTACTCCTTCCACAAATATATACAGTGATACCTTGGTTTTGAGTTTAATCTGTTCCCAGAGACTGCTCAAAAAACAAAAATTTGCAAACTTTAACAAATTTTCCTATAAGAAATAATGTAAATTGAATTAATCCGTTCCACACTCCCAAAAATATTAATTTCAAAATATATTTCATACATAATACACACAAATATTTTATACTATAGTATGTACAAATTATAGCTAACCTTTATTGATGACTTGTTGGCATATGGAAGAGGGTGAGAGGGGGGGGGGGGGGGGGAGGGGGGAAGAGAAGAGGTGTTAGTGCTTGGAAGGGGAGTCCCCTTCCATTATAACAGCAGTGATAACATTTCTGGTGTACTCTTTCTCTTATGTTTTGCAGGCATACCACTAGGACCTGGTTATGGCTCACTGCTTGCTTGTCTTACTAAGAATCTGATTATAGACACTTGTTTTCCCTACGTTTTAACACTTTTCTATAGTGAGACATCACATTGTCTCACTATGAATGATCTCTTGTTTTTCCTCTATTGCCATCCTCAGTTATTTTCCTTTCACTCCGTCTCATATCTTCCTTTTCTCTCTGGGTAGAAAGTAACAGAGGACGCTAGAGATCAGCCACTGTCACCGCTTAAACAAGTTTTTGTTAACTTCAGTTCAACTTTTTACACACAAAGCCTCTGCCAAGGCCTAAATTTTTTTGGCACAAACAAAACATGGAAAATTGTCATTTGAGGGTGGAAGTGAGAATTTCTCTACCTGCAGTGCTTTGCCCAGCTGAGCCATCTACATTACTTGTTATTTCCTATCACTAAGAAATATTATGTAATACAGTACCAAGTTATTACTGTATCAATAGTATTAATATTAATGGAAAGATAAATTATATAATTTTACTTATTTTTATTCATAAATTATAATTTATGTTCCAGAAATATAATGCAAGACATTTTGCAATAATGTAACAAAGATCATATAAAATATTTAAACATTAATTTTTACTCAGTTTATCAATATATAACAACTCTATAAACAGTATAATGTATTGCAACTACTGTACTGTAAATTCTAATAAAAATTAATCCTTATTGCTAAAAAATGTAACTAGTATATAATCTAAACTACATTTAACTACTGTACAGTAAACAAAAAAACTATAAATATCATTTTTCCTTACAATAAACATTTTATAGTTAATTAACAAATAACTTGGATACAGTACTTGATAGTTTGACCTTGATTCAACAAACTACAGTATATGGGTCCAACCCCAACACATTACAGTGAAGGATTCATTACAACCAGAGATGCTTCAAGGATGCACTTCCCACATCTTATGGGCAGATTTCACTTAGCAAAATTTTAATATCAAGCTATAATATAATGAACAACTATCAGATGAACATGTCTGCACAAAACTTTAGCCACCATCTAGATTATTTCTCACATTTCTAGCCTCAAAACTCATTTTCATTATCTGGGTGAAGGAAAACTTTGCCAACTCAGAATAAAAACTAAACCATAGACTTTGGTTTAAATATCTTCAGTAGCTTTTCCAAGGCTCCAAATGTTTCTTGTAATATTGAGGTCATCTATAACATCAAAACCATGACTAGTCATTAATTGAGTTACCATTCATATCCTAACTAATATTTATGATACTCCAAGAGCTGATTTCACCAAGCAAAATTTTAATTTCAACCTGTCATATGAAGGATAACAACCATAAGAACCTGTCTGCAAAAGATTTAACCACATCTAGCATTTTCCTATGCCCATATTTTACTAAACAAAATTCTCTGCAACTGGGGGAAAAAAACGAACCATAGAATTTGGTTTTAAATATGCTAAGTGGCTTTCTGAAGGCCCAACTATTTCTTGTATAGTTGCGTCAATCTTTGAACCCGGTCCTAACATCCTAAAGAAATCAGAATTCCCTGCTTCAGTGAACTCTTATTCGTCAAACTGGGTGAGTAAATCTGGCAAGGAGAGTGTTCCAACCAGATTCGCAGAATCAAGGTACGTTGAATCGAGATTCCACTATACTAAACAGTACAGTATTTTTTCTTATTTTTAATAATAATTTATTGTTTTTATTCATTTTATTAAATGTTTAATGATTAATGAACAAATGGATGATAAGAGTGGTTACAATAGCACATCCAAGTGAACTTTAACATAGGAGAAGAGGAAAATACAGGGGAGGAAGGCCAGGTGAAAAATAGCCGTAGAGAGTATGAAGGAAGTGGGAAGTGTGTAAACAGCAGGTATGGAATAATGATAGATGAAATTGGTTTGATAAGTAGCAGTGCTGGTTCAATGTGAAAGAGCAGTACGTATTGTGTAAAACTTAGTAAATGGACGAGCTGTTTATTATTTTCAAAATAATAATAATACTAATTATTATAATAATACTAATTATTATTATAATATCTTTGCTCTTATTTCTTACCACTTACACCCCATAAAAATGGGAGATAGGGAACGGGTAATAATATTTATGAACAAAGTGTTAAATGAACTACAGTATTACTGAAAAAAACATACAGAATAACATTACACTGTACATCAACATATCAGCCATATATTAAGTTTACCTCTAGTACAGCTAGTGTCTGAAAAATCTTGAGTACAGAGCTAGTGCTGTCCCATAGGCCTGTCAAACTTCCTTCAAATACCAAATGATGTGTTGCTTGGATTAAAACAATGAGCCATCTGAAATATATATACCAATTAATTAATCAATATTCATGACCTTTCTGTATTCTCAGCCCATTTACCATGATAGGCAATAACTACCATTAATTAACTATTTCCTAGTTTATGTAGGCAACATAAATGTGATTTCACATCAAGTAAGTCTTGGACATTTTTGCACTATCCATCAGCAGAGATTATTAAACTTTGTATATACTGTAACACAATGAATATTAATTTAAAAGTACAATATAATAAATATAAAGTCAGTAAAGATTTAAAGCAAAGTTTGTGTAATGAGTTGCTAATGGGCGACATTGAGCCAAATCTTGTTGTTTTGGACAGGAAGCTTATACTGTACTTTGGATTATTAAGGCCACCCCTAGGGCCAACTACTGACCTTCACCAGGATGCAATCCACAACTGCCTAACTCCCAGACACCCATTTACTACTAGATGAACAGAGCGCATCAGGTGAAAGAAAAGTGCCAAATCATTTCTGCCCCAGCCAGGGGTCGAACCTGGGATCCTACATTGTGAGTTGAAGATGTATACTACTGGACCTCTTCTAGTTAATATAGTTAATCAATCTATAAAATATGTGCATACATTTCATGAAGTGACAAAATGGCTGGAACATACACAACCTACGACCCCGGCATTGCTATGCTCGTAGGCTTGAGCATGGCAATGCCGTAGGCTCACAGCCCTGGTGGATTTTATCATTAAAACGGCAGTATTTGGTAGGCCCTGGAGGCTCCCGTGTTCAAGAATTAATAAGAAATAAAAGCCGAATACAGTATAACTAAAGAATTCTTGATACAGTATTTAGATACAGGAAAAAAATAGTTATAGCTGCCCTGCTTGTATAATGCCTGTTACGTCATTATTCCAATATGTAAATACTGCAAATTACCAAATGATGCAGCACTCCATAAGACTAGAGAGTACAATCAAATCATACACAGGCATTTCTGCAAAGCTCATTTTCTAAATTGTAAAAACTACTACAGCACAGTGGTCTACATCAAGGGCTCACAACCGAGGGTTCCATGTTCAATTTGTGGGCGGGGCAGACATAGTTGGGCATATTTCATTTCACCTGGTGCCTCTCTCAAGATAAGAGTAATCAGGTATCCAGGAGCTAGACAACTGTTGTGGCTGGCTTCCTGGGGAAGGTCAGTAGCTGGCCTACGGAAAGCTTGATAAACTCTACGGGCTCACCATAGCCCGTGCTACTTGGAACTTTTGTTCTGGGTAGCTGAATCTAAAAAGTGAATCTAAAATCGATAAACTGAAACAGACTCTGTCCCCGACAATGAGAATGCATATTGTTAGGTTAGGAAGGTTTTATGTGCTTACCATTACGGATTCAATGTGCGAGCCTATGGTGAGCCTATGGTGACAAGCTAACCCAACATGCACAGTCTTGACAATCAGAAAATGAGGTTTGCTGAAATGCCTGTGTACTTGATTGTTCATTTGGTCAAATTGTTGGGTTTGGGATCCAGGGTTCGATTCCAGGGCGAGACAGAAATGGTTAGGCACGTTTCCTTTCACCTAATGCGACTATTCACCTAGCAATAATTAGGTACCCCAGGACTCTGCTAACTGTCATGGGGTTGCATCCTGAGGAGGGTCAGTAGCTTGACCTTGTGGGGATCACGATACAAGCTTAAAGTGTATATATTATATTATATACACGTCATAAAATATATATACACATAGAGGCTTCCTGTCCCCGACAAAATTAATTAAATTAGAGGGAATAGATCAACGCGCTCTGCGCATTATCCTACAATGCGCACTGTGCCAGAGAGCGCACAACACCAGTAACGTCCCAGGAGAAGGTCTCACCCGAGGCTCAAGAAGATGTTGTAGAAGATGAGGTAAATGTTGCCCGTAGAGAGGGTGTCCGAGGGCTTGGTCTTGCTGAACATCTCGGCGGTGTGTGTGGCAAGCCCTGGCAGAGAAAGTTCAGTGAGCGACAGGCAAGAGAAAGTTGAGGATGCGTCCGGCCACTCTCGCCTCCCCGGTCATACTGACGCCTCGGGCAAGTGACAGCATCAACATCATTGTTTGTTTATTTATTTATTTATTTATTTATATACAAGAAGGTACATTGGGTTTGTGAGAATACATAGGATAGTACAGTATGTACAATCTTGTAAAGCCACTAGTACGCGCTGCGTTTCGGGCAGGTCCTTAATCTAACAAATAATTTTAAGTAGGTAAATTCTATCAGAATTAATAAAATGATAACAAATACATTGCAAGAAAAAAATGAGATGAGAGAGATTAATAAGTACACTAAAGCACATTGGTATAAAGCTGATCCCTTTCGCAATCCGACTTCGCAATTTCAACACCATCAAGCTCGTATCTTGTAACTCTATCATCATTACCTAGCCTCAGAACTCAGAACAGAACATTTATCAGCATTAAACTGCAGACTCGGGTAAATTCAGGTAAAATATAAAAGTATATCTAATTCGTTTTTCTTTGAAACGGTCTGAATAATTTGATTTCTGCAAATGAAATTTATCTGAGGAGTCACTGACATATATTGGTCTCGACGAAAGAAAGGATTAGTAGAAATTCTAAGAGAGAATCAAATAGTTTCCGACTTTCATATTATTTCACCTGTCAGCTAATGATATTAGGTGAACATGCTTGTGCTTTAATTTTATTTAGTAGCCCCTCATATATAATATGGTATTAGTAGTAGAAGTAGTACATTGTACTACCTAAGCTTTTAATCAAAACAAAATGCATAAATTCACTAGACAATTGAGGTTCTTATTTGCGTCTTATTTCATTGTAAAAGGAGTTAATTTCCAAACAGGGTTGTATAAATAAATCTTATCTTATTTTTGCATTCAATTTTGTACGGTAATTTTTCAAACTTAAAATGTAAATAGCTATATATATATACCCCCTCTAAATGAAAAATGGCCTAATTTAACATATGTGCTAAAAATATTAACATAAATAATTCGTTTGTTAGATAACAAGATATTCATAGCAATAAGGTTTCTTGGAATGGCCTATAATGCACGCAAATACTAGTTTACGCACTTTTCGGGTAGTACGCCTGGAATTTCAAAATGGCGTTCAAACGGCGGTTGGTCGTTGAAGGCTCAGTGCTCAGTAACGTCGCTGCCGCCAAAGCGACAACATGTACCGCTGATTTCCGACATAAGCAACATTGCTCCAGGTAAGAGTGATAATTCTTTTTGACATTTATATCTTATATATACACAGTATATAGAATTATATAATATAATGGGGTTTGCTTCGAACAATGCCTATCAATGTTAGTTTAGTTTTAGTTCGCACACCGCCCCCCACCCAGTGGGCAGCGGTGGATAGGTTACAATCACTCGGTTACTATCTACAGTTAGCAGACTGGGGATATTTGGCTAAAATTTCTGGTAACAGATCAGGTCCCCCATTTGTTCAGATTTGTTTTCAAATTGGATTTTACAATTCAAGTGTTATGTTATTTACTGCTTTAGCAGATAGGCGGTTCCATGGGTTTATAACCCTGTGGGTGAAAATATAGCTTATGTTTTCAGTCCTACACTGCGGCTTGTTGGACTTGAAACCGTTGTTCCTTGTTTGTGTTCCATCTGACCTTTTGAAGTTGTTCTCTGGATCCATATCTTCGAAACTGTTCAATATTTTAATAGGCAGGCGATGAGTCACAATAACGTGGCTGAAGTATGTTGACCAGACCACACACTAGAAGTTGAAGGGACGACGAGTTTCGGTCCGTCCTGGACCATTCTCAAGTCGATTCAAGTCGATATTTTAATAGTTTCGGTGAGATCCATCCTGGCATGCCTAGTTTGCAGTGTTGTTAGCCCTGTGACCCTCAACCGTTCATGGTATGAAACTAGACCTCATTCTGCAATTATTTTTGTCGCCTGGTGTTCAATTTTCTCCATGAAAGGTTGGGCGCGGGGTGGGTTCTCTGTCGGGCTCCAAGTGGGTTCTCTGTCGGGCTCCAAGTGGGTTCTCTGTCGGGCTCCAAGTGGGTTCTCTGTCGGGCCCCAAGTGGGTTCTCTGTCGGGCCCCAAGTGGGTTCTCTGTCGGGCCCCAAGTGGGTTCTCTGTCGGGCCCCAAGTGGGTTCTCTGTCGGGCCCCAAGTGGGTTCTCTGTCGGGCCCCAAGTGGGTTCTCTGTCGGGCCCCAAGTGGGTTCTCTGTCGGGCCCCAAGTGGGTTCTCTGTCGGGCCCCAAGTGGGTTCTCTGTCGGGCCCCAAGTGGGTTCTCTGTCGGGCCCCAAGTGGGTTCTCTGTCGGGCCCCAAGTGGGTTCTCTGTCGGGCCCCAAGTGGGTTCTCTGTCGGGCCCCAAGTGGGTTCTCTGTCGGGCCCCAAGTGGGTTCTCTGTCGGGCCCCAAGTGGGTTCTCTGTCGGGCCCCAAGTGGGTTCTCTGTCGGGCCCCAAGTGGGTTCTCTGTCGGGCCCCAAGTGGGTTCTCTGTCGGGCCCCAAGTGGGTTCTCTGTCGGGCCCCAAGTGGGTTCTCTGTCGGGGCTCCGGGGTGGGTTGTCGGTCGGGGCTCCGGGGTGGGTTGTCGGTCGGGGCTCCGGGGTGGGTTGTCGGTCGGGGCTCCGGGGTGGGTTGTCGGTCGGGGCTCCGGGGTGGGTTGTCGGTCGGGGCTCCGGGGTGGGTTGTCGGTCGGGGCTCCGGGGTGGGTTGTCGGTCGGGGCTCCGGGGTGGGTTGTCGGTCGGGGCTCCGGGGTGGGTTGTCGGTCGGGGCTCCGGGGTGGGTTGTCGGTCGGGGCTCCGGGGTGGGTTGTCGGTCGGGGTTCCAAGGTGGGTTGTCGGTCGGGGCTCCGGGCAGGCTTTAGGTACTCAACTGGCGGGCTCTGGGTGGGTGACTGTTCGGGCTCCAGGTGGGTGTCTGTCCGGCTTCGGGTGGGTTCTTGGTAGGGCTTGGGGGGTGTGGGTTCTTGGTAGGGCTTGGGGGGGGGTGTGGGTTCTTGGTAGGGCTTGGGGGGGTGTGGGTACTTGGTAGGGCTGGGGGGGTGTGGGTAATTGGTAGGGCTTGGGGGGGTGTGGGTTCTTGGTAGGGCTTGGGGGGTGTGGGTTCTTGGTAGGGCTTGGGGGGGTGTGGGTTCTTGGTAGGGCTTGGGGGGGTGTGGGTTCTTGGTAGGGCTTGGGTGGGTGTGGGTTCTTGGTAGGACTTAATTGGGGGGGTGTGGGTTCTTGGTAGGGCTTGGGGGGGTGTGGGTTCTTGGTAGGGCTTGGGGGGGGTTCTTGATAGGGCTTGGGGGGGGGGTTCTTGGTAGGGCTTGGGGGGGTGTGGGTATTTGGTAGGGCTTGGGGGGGTGTGGGTATTTGGTAGGGCTTGGGGGGGTGTGGGTATTTGGTAGGGCTTGGGGGGGTGTGGGTACTTGGTAGGGCTTGGGGAGGGTGTGGGTTCTTGGTAGGGCTCGGGGGGGTGTGGGTTCTTGGTAGGGCTCGGGGGGGTGTGGGTTCTTGGTAGGGCTCGGGGGGGTGTGGGTTCTTGGTAGGGCTCGGGGGGGTGTGGGTTCTTGGTAGGGCTCGGGGGGGTGTGGGTTCTTGGTAGGGCTCGGGGGGGTGTGGGTTCTTGGTAGGGCTCGGGGGGGTGTGGGTTCTTGGTAGGGCTCGGGGGGGTTTGGGTTCTTGGTAGGGCTCGGGGGGGTGTGGGTTCTTGGTAGGGCTCGGGGGGTGTGGGTTCTTGGTAGGGCTCGGGGGTGTGTGGGTTCTTGGTAGGGCTCGGGGGTGTGTGGGTTCTTGGTAGGGCTCGGGGGGGTGTGGGTTCTTGGTAGGGCTCGGGGGTGTGGGTTCTTGGTAGGGCTCGGGGGGATGTGGGTTCTTGGTAGGGCTCGGGGGGGTTGGGTTCTCTGTAGGGCTCGGGGTGGGTTCTTGGTAGGGCTCGGGGTGGGTTCTCGGTAGGGCTCGGGGCGGGCTCCAGGTACTCAACTGACGGGTTCCAGTTCACTCAACTGGCGGGCTCCGGTTCACTCAACTGGCGGGCTCCGGTTTATTAAACTGGCGGGCTCCGGGTGTTTGACTGGTCGGGCTCCGGGTGGGTGACTGTTCGGGCTCCAGATGGGTGTCTGTCCGGCTTCGGGTATGTTCTTGGTAGGGCTTCGGGGTGGGTTCTTGGTAGGACTTAGGGTTGGCTCCCGGTCAGGCTCAGGGTGGGCTCTTTCGGGTTCGGGATGGGCTCTCGGGCTTGGGGTGCCTCTGTAGGGCTCGGGGTAGGTTCTTGGTCGGGCCCAGGGTGGGTTCTCTGTAGGGCTCAGGGTGTTTTCATGGTAGGACTAGGGGTGGGTTCTCTGTAGGGATCAGGGTGGGTTCTCGGTAGGGCTCTGGGTGGGTTCTCGGTCGGGCTCGGGGCGGGCTCCAGGTACTCAACTGACGGGTTCCAGTTCACACAACTGGCGGGCTCCGGTTCACTCAACTGGCGGGCTCCGGTTTACTAAACTGGCGGGCTCCGGGTGTTTGACTGGTCGGGCTCCGGGTGGGTGACTGTTCGGGCTCCAGGTGGGTGTCTGTCCGGCTTCGGGTGGGTTCTCGGTAGGGCTTGGGGGTGGGTTCTCGGTAGGGCTTGGGGTGGGTTCTCGGTAGGGCTTGGGGGTGGGTTCTCGGTAGGGCTTGGGGGTGGGTTCTCGGTAGGGCTTGGGGCTGGGTTCTCGGTAGGGCTTGGGGCTGGGTTCTCGGTAGGGCTTGGGGCTGGGTTCTCGGTAGGGCTTGGGGCTGGGTTCTCGGTAGGGCTTGGGGCTGGGTTCTCGGTAGGGCTTGGGGCTGGGTTCTCGGTAGGACTTGGGGCTGGGTTCTCGGTAGGGCTTGGGGCTGGGTTCTCGGTAGGGCTTGGGGCTGGGTTCTCGGTAGGGCTTGGGGGGTGGGTTCTCGGTAGGGCTTGGGGGGTGGGTTCTCGGTAGGGCTTGGGGGGTGGGTTCTTGGTAGGGCTTGGGGGGTGGGTTCTCGGTAGGGCTCGGGGTGGGCTCTTTCGGGATCGGGATAGGCTCTCGGGCTTTGGGAACCTCTGTAGGGCTCGGGGTAGGTTCTTGGTCGGGC